TTTATTTGCTATTTCTACTTCTTTGTCTGAGAGAAGTCTGTTCATTTCAGATTCCCATTTTTGGATTGGGTCTTTAAATTTGGGAGGTCTAATTTTTTTAAGTTCTTTATATATTCTAGATAGTAGACCTTTGTCTGAGGAACAGTTCTGCTACCTTCTTTAATCAATTTTACTACTTTTTTTTTTAAGCAATAGGATTACATTTCAGAAGTCCATGTCACTGGTTTTTCATGGGGTATTTAGTGATTATTTACTCTTTGTCAGGCCTTAGCAGTGGACAGGGATACAAAAATTGATAGATTTATAAGTCTGTGAATGGTGTAACTAAGCATTGAGAAAGGTTCGGAAGCACTTCTTGGGAAACAGCTTTCTTACTTTTCCATGACTTAATATATTTGAATATTGCTTCATTAGTTTGATTTTTGCCTTGAGCGGTTTGAATTTAATTATATTGATTGGAAACAAAACAGCCACAAAACTTGACCCTTTGATGTTCTCCATCCTAATCTCCATTTCCAGGTTCGACGAGGTGGCATTGGTGCCCAGTGTGGGTTGGTATTTGCCTATAACTCACCTTCTGATAAATTTCACGCAGAAGAACACTTTAAACAGTTTGAAAAATATGACAGTTGGAAGCTTCAGGAGCTCAGGCAGTTTGTGAAGAGCAGGTAAGGAGCAAAGCAAAAATCTGTAGAATTAATAAGAATGTATCCCTTCCTTTATTGGTGAACTATGCTTTCTTGTCTTTATAGAAAAGGTACCATAGGGCTGGGTATATAGCTCAGTGGCACTGTGCCTGCCTTGCAACCATAAGGTCCTGAGTTCGATCCTCGGTACCAAAAAAAGAAAAGAAAAGGTACCACTAACCCAACTTAGTGGCCAAAATCATTCATTGCCATTTAGCAGCATATGTGAAGATGTGTGTTGATTTGCTCAGAGCCTTTTACTTAACCCTTTCTGTGACCAGGGCATGCATCTTCAGAATGTCCAGGAATGATACATGCCTGAACTGGGGACAACCTGAGGTCCTCAGTCTTACCTGGCCTCTGGGAAATTCATTCTGTGCAACCCCATCCTTCTATTCATGCTTTTATTGAAAATATTTATTAAGCACTTACTATGAACCAGACCTGATGTTAGGCACTGAAGACACTGTAACAAGAAAAGCGGCACAGTGTCCATTGCAGGGAGCTTCCTGCAATGTACTGGAGACAGACACGCTAAACTTTTGGGGTTAGCCATATTAGGAGAGCTACATAGGAGACTTCTGGGAGCAGAAGGCAAGGTTCCTCACCTCATCTGATCCAGGAAGGCATCCTGGAGCCAGCAAAAGGCACTGTTGCTGAAGGAGGAGTTACAGTTGACTAGCCACTAAAAGAGGTGGAGGGAGGGTTGCCTGAGCAAAGAGAAGTGCAGGTGTGAGGGCCCAGAGATGAAGTATGGGACACTGGAGGAATCCTGTGTTGCTGAGGTGAACTGTGTTAGAGAATGGCAAGAAATAAAGCTGGAGGGCTGGGAAAGGGCCAGATTAGTAGAGGTCTCTTGTCTGTTTCAGGCTTTTGATCAGTAGTGGGATCGCACCTATGAATAACCACTGCACTCCAGCCTGAGCAATGTAGTGAAACCCCATCTCTAAATTAGGCATGGTGGTACATGCCTGTAGTCCCAGCTACTCGGGAGGCTGAGGTAGGAGAGTCTCTTGAGTCCAGAAGTTCTGGGCTGCAGTGTGCTATCCCAGTGGGGTATCCACACTAAGTTTGGTATCAATATTATGGTGACCTCCCAGGAGTGGGGGACCACCAGGTTGCCTAAGGAGGGGTGAACTGGCCCAGGTCAGAAACAGAGCAGATCAAAACCCCTGTGCTGATCTGTTTTGGGATTTAGACTATTCTTTTTTTTTTTTGGTACTAGGGATTGAACTCAGGACCTTGCGCTTGCCAGACAGGTGCAACACCACTGAGCTACATCCCCGGCCCATTTAGACTATTCTTAAAGGATGTGTGGTGGAGGAAGAGAGTGCAGTGTGTTGTGGAGGAATTAGAACTACTCAGGCTCATGCTGTGGACAGCATGGATGAGGAGAGAAAGCACAGAAACAGGAGGGATGGGCAAGGCTGGCACTGTCGCCTAGGAAGCCAAAGATGGGACTGACCTCAGTCAGGGCATTAGCAGAAGCAGTCAACTAAGGTAGATGGGTGAAAGGTCCCTAGAAGATCAAAGCAGCAGGCCCTGGGAACTGACTTGACAAGAGAGCAGCAGAGGGAAGAAGGCTTAGGTGGCACCAATTCTGGGAATTTGGTAGGTAGTGCCTTTCTCTAGGAAAGAAAATATCCCAGGGAGAAATAGATCTGTGGGGAAGATGCAGATCTCAGTGTTGGACCTGCTGAATTTGATGACCTTGGAAGCCCTTGAGATATCTAGTAGCTCACTGGACAAATTGGCCAGGGGCTTAGAGAAGAAGATTGTGCTACAGGGACAGACATAAGTCTGACATGATTATTGAAAACATGAAAATAGGAAAAATCCCTCTAGAAGAGTATGTGGGCTGGGAAGAGATGAAAACTTAAGTTACCATGATGGGTGGCTCTAGATTTAAGGGACAACAGAGAAAAATTCAGCCAGTGAAGGAACAGGAAAAGCAGGGCTGTGTCCTTAGGACTTCAAGGGAAGCAGTGTTTAAACAGGCAAGGAATGGGTGTGGTATCTGATGTTACTCAGAAGTCAATGAGATAAAAGCTGAAAGTGTGTCTATTGGATGCAGCCACCCAGGTCATGGGTGAACCTTGGACACCAAGTTAGAATTCATGAAGCAGAATCCTAGACTTGCTGTTTATGCTCCTGCATTTCACAGGTAACAGTGCTGGAATTAACAGAAATCTTTAAATATCATCTAGTATAGCATTACTTATGCTTTAATGTTTGTACAGATCACCTAGGGATCTTGTGAAAGCACAGATCTCATTCAGCAGTTAGTTCCAGGTAGGGCCTGAGACTTTGCTTTCAGTTGATTCTGCTGCCTCACCATGGACTGCACTTCCAAATGCAGGGATCTAGAACTGATCCCTTGTTATGCTGGAATTTCTTTGGCATTCCTGAAAAATGATCGCTCAGCCTCTATGGAACACTAATGATGGAAAATCACTGAATGTCCAGGCAGGCACTGCAATTATTAGAATATGAAGTCTATATTTTTAATTTCTATTTACTGGTCTTAATTTCAGCCATCTAAGTGATTTGAAACAGGTGTTCCTCACTCTTAAAATCTCCCTGCCATTAAACACATATGTCTTTTAAAAAGATGACCTTGTTTTTTAATAATAGCTATAGATGACATCTAATTTTAAGCAGCCATTTCCCACTCTTGGGACATATTAAAATAGATTTTTTTCTCTACACTTTCTGTTAAACAAGGTCTTTCACATCTTATACAGTATGATTTTTTTTAACCTAAATACAGGTTTAATGATTTGGTTCCAGCCTGAGCTACTCTTAAATCATGATTCAGTTGGCCTCCATATTTCATTTCCTCTCCAGTTTGGAAGTCAAAATGTTAATGTGCCTCTATCTTACTGCTTTTTGTTTGTCTGTTTGTTCTGGTCATGTCCTGGCCAAGCGTGGGCCAGGCAGCATGTTCCAGGTTCAGATGCTTGGCTGCTGTGCATATTTGAGAGAACTACTGTACAACTCTTTCCCTATCCTGCCTGCTGTGTGGTGTGGTTTAGTGAGCGGGTGGCTTCTCTGTCCTCTGACACCCTGCCAGCTCTCTGTAGCACAGAGATTTCCTTGCTGACTCCCAAAGAGTGAACTTTTTTTTTTTGGTGGTGGTGGTGGTGGTGCTAGGGATTGAACCAGAGCTTCACACATACTAGGCAAGTATTGTGCCATTGAACTATATCCTCAGCCCTCAAAGAGGATATTTAAAAGTCCTCAAACATGTAATGTGGATGAGACTCATTGACATGGTTTTGGACTAAGCAGATTCCACCTGTGTCATTGGCATTAACTATATCAAAAGGTTTATGCCAAGAAAGACTGATGTTAGGAAGAGAACATTTTTTTCTGTGTTACAGAACCTGGTCTGGATTGTCCTTTCCTGCTTCTTTCCGTAGTTTCCTGTGTTTGTCATGTCCATAGAGAATACTTGTGTATTGCTAGCTTCATAGTTGAGTAGTATAACATTTCAGAAATAATATTTGAAAAGACTGGCTTCTTCTCCTTCATTCCTGAAAAGGGAGTAGCATTTCAGTGCCTGTGTTTGATTATTCGGGTTTTTTTGGTTTTTTTTTTTTTTTTTTTGAGATAGGGTCTTGCTGTGTAGGTCAGGCTGGCCTCCAACTCACTATGTAGCCCAAGCTGGCCTCAAACTCATGGCAATCCTCCTGCCTCAGCCTCCTGAATGCTGGGATTACAGGCATGTACCATCATGTCCCGGCTGTACCTGGTTTTTAAAGGGAAGTGGCACACAATTTTGTTTCTTCAGTTTCAAGGTTGAAATGCTTTCCTGGAAGGAATTCTTAAGGAATAGGAAGGAACACTGAGACCTGTTAAGGCTGCAGTTTTTATTTCTGAAACTCCCAAGGTCTAAAAGTTCTCAGGGTTTTACCTTTCAGTTGTTCCAAGTGGCCCAAGCTCAGGCTGCTTGCATACACAGTAGCTAGAACTTGGGAAAGGAACTGAACTTGCCTCTCCCTGGATTCTTTCCAGAAGCTCACACTGTTGTATCTTACTTTTGAGACTCACCTAAGATTCCTGACTTCATGTCTCATTCTTCAGTTGAGCCAGTTACCCAGAGAAGCAAGCCTTTTCCTTATTTCCCAAGTTATATCTGGGGCTGACACAATTCCCAGTTCACACTTAAGGGGCTGAGAAATGAAGAAGCAACTACTGTACCTGTTATATTCTGGGAGGTACCACGTGCCACACTCTATCCCCAGTTGTTAATTGACAGGGCTTATATACAAGTTAAATGCCACTTTAATGACGGTTTACTTGTTAGACTATGGAGAATTTTAGAAATAGGAAAATGTTTTGTGATGACTCTTGTGTTTCCAGGATTGGTTGCTCCTCTGATGACCTTGGAGAGCATGATCCTATTGGCTGGTTTGAGCTGGAGGAAGAGTGGGATGAAGCAGATGTCAAGTTGCAGCAGTGCAGAGTTGCCAAAGTAAGCATTAGTGAGTGTGGCCTTTGAGTGTTTGCCTGCTCCCCTCCCTTCATCCTATAAATATGGTCCTAATTGTAAATGTACCAGCCCTGCACCATTGCTGGAACCCTCGAGGGGCATTGGCCCTTAGAAGTTCCTAGTCTAGTGGAGAGATACATGTGTTAGACAGGCTGTGATGAAGAGAGATTCAGGAGGGTGTTGGAACCCATTGGAAGAATTAACCCAGCCTGGAGTTCAGTAGGGGAGGTGACACTGGAAGTTAATTGAGCCATCATCTTTAGCCTGGCTAAGGTGTGTGAAGGGCATCAGGCTGAGAGAATAGTGGGACATAGGTGTGAATGCAAGAGAGATGTTTTCACTGGGTATGAAAGAAATGGTGATTATCTGGCACTGTGTTTTATTTTTTGCAGAATTGTGGATTGAACCCAGGGCCTGTGCACTGAGCTAAATCCTCAGCCATTTATTATTTTGAGACAAGGTCTCACTAACTTACTAAGTTGCCCAGGCTGGATTTAAACTTATAATTCTCCTGTCTCAACCTCCCAGAGTGCTGGAATTACAGGCGTGTGCCACCATGCCCAGCTTGCTTAAATTTTTTTAAATCTCAAATATAAGTCTTAGACTTAAATAAGAGAATTCAGAACTATCTTTATGTCTTATGCTTAGTAGGTGCTCCATAAATATTTGTGTAGTTGAGTAGCTGATTTGGAAAGGCTGTTAACAAAGGTGCTTTCACTGTAAGAAGCAGACACTTGGCACAAAAGTTGGGCATTGAAAATGGCATTAGCTTTGAGCAGACAAGACTGTTTGTTGGGCACCTGGTATATAGGTTACATGTATCATTTGGGGACTGTGAGACAATTCTTTAGGGCACTGACTGTTTTCATTAATATCTGATTTTTTGTTTCAAAATGTCTGCACCAAAGAGCAAATGTACTTCTCTTATTCTTACCCATTTTTGCCTTGAAGAAGGCTACTTCTCTTCTTATTATCTTTACTAAAATCTGATTTCATTTAGCATTTGAGTAGTTTTTTTTTTCTGTTTGTTGTAGATTTTGGACTTATACTTTGTATTCCCTGGTGCTGGGCATGGAAGTACCTAATAATTTAATAAATAATTTAATAGGAGGTACCTAATAAAATCATAGCGAGACCTTCCCACAAAAGACCTTTCACTCTTTTATCATATTAAGGAATTCTGAGTTTGTCTCCTGAAATCTCTTTCATCCTGTCTAGTATTTGATGGTGAAGTTCCTCTGCACCCGGCAGGAGTCAGCAGAGCGCTTGGGAGTGCAAGGCTTGAGCATCAGTGGGTACCTCCGGCCTGCAAGAGCAGAAGCAGAGAAAAACATCCTCTGTGCCCACTGCAGGAAGGAGGCAGAGAGTGTCTGCGGGGGCACTCTGCTCCTCAGGACCCTGCAGTTCATCCAGCAGCTCGCCCATGACCTGGTAGGGTTTCCTCGGTTGGTAGACCACATCCCTCTAGGAAAAATGAATGTCAGTGTTAAGGAAGTGAATACTAACCCTGTCCCTGCCTGCAGCTTTGGCAGTGGGACAGGCATCAGTCTGTGTGGTGACTCTGAAAAGTGGGCGAGGAAAGGTGACCTGTGTTTCACCAGTCAGTGAGGACTAACTGGCCCATAGTCATTTTTGTGAGGTCTCCTAGAGTAGACCTGCAGACTTGTTGTAAAGATCCCCACCTGTGGTTGCCCTGGGAGGCCAAGCCATTTCATAGGATTTGTCTTCTTTAAGTCATAGGAGAATTATTACTGAACTCAAGGTGAATTTTATTTACTGAAATAACTACAAAGTTAGGATTTGCGATCACACACACACACACACACACACACACACACACACACACATACAATTTTTAATTTCTTTTTTTTTTTAAGTACTATGGATTGAACCCAGGAGCCTGTGCATGCTAGGCAAGAGCTCTGCCATTGAGCTCTACATCCCTAGCCCTTTGTATTTTTTTTTCTTTTGGTTGGTTGGTTTTTTTTGTTTTTTAGAAACAGTCTCTGTATATAGTCCAGGCCAGCCTTGAACTCACGGTGTAGTCCAGGCTGGCCTTAAACTCGTGACAGTCTTGCCTCAGCCTCCCGAGTGCTGGGATTATAGGCATGTGCCACCACGCCTGGCTCTTTTTATTTTTTATTTATTTATTTATTTTCCAATACTGGGGATCAAACTCAGGACTTTGGGCTTGCAATGCAGGCGTGGTGCCATTGAGCTAAATCCCTGGCCCTCCTTTTATTTTGTTTTATACTTGATCTTAGCCAAAAGGCCAAGAAGTGATCCTTTTATTTTGTTTTGAGGCAGGGTCTCATTACATTTTCCAGAGTAGTCCTGAACTTGTGATCCTCTTGCCTCAACCTTCTGAGCAGCTGAGATTGTAGGCATGCACCACCTCGCTCAGATTCATTTGTAGTTTTGATATTTTTACAGTCACTAAGAAAACAGTAATGTCTCATTTAAAAAAAGAGTCTTTCAGCCCATTGGCATGGAGTTTGTGGCTTGCCCCAGGAATCCTAAGGAGCCCGCTTGTGTCTGTGGGCAGCATTGTCCACCCTTAGTCTTCATTCTGTTGCAGGGCACATTCAGAGCCTGGTGACTCAGTGTACATATGGCTTTTTTTTACATATATTATTGAACTTTATGTACAAAATCATTTGATTTCAAATAAACATTTAATGTAAAAACAAACATTCTTTTAAACTGAATTTTTTTTTACATCTACTGAACCATTCAAATGCTTTACCCTCTTACATGATTTCTTCAAAATCTGTCATTAAGGGTACATATAGAAAAGTATTTTTTTATGAATAGAAACAAAGGGATTTTTTTCAGCTTTTATTATGACATAAAAAGTTTACTCAACAGAAGTGATTTCATTACTATTTGGGGGAGGGAATCACCAACTTTTGTGCAAACAATGCTAGCCTTCCTTTTTTTTTGGTACTGGGGATTGAACTTGGGACCTTGCGCTTCCGAGGCAGGCAACGGAACCACTGAGCTAAATCTCCAGCCCCCTTATGGCATTTCTTAAGCAGTTATGCTCTTAATGCTTAAAAGAATGCTAGCAGGGGCAGCCAGTGAGAAGTAGATGCAGCATGACAATATTTCACAATATTTCTCTAAAAGCATTTTTTCCAATTTTACTTTTTCTGATCTTTATAATTTTTTTAGGTGCAGCAGAAGGAAAGTGGCTTAAAATATAAATCTTTTCTGGACTTCGCGGGTCTTGATTTACAGATCTTCTGGAATTTTTACAGTAAATTAAAGCAAAAGTAGGTCAGAATTTGTTATAAGGTGATAATCATAAATAAAGCTGAATCATAAATAAAGCTGAAGACAATGAGTTTTGCTATTCTGAATGTAGTTTTTTTTCTAAAATTTTTTACTTCCTGCTAGTGTATATTGTTCTGATTTGAAAGATTTGGTTGTTATAAAAGATAATACCTCACCTTTCTAAAAAATATTTAGAAATTGTTTCACCAATATTTTCATATTTGACTGTCCTCATAACTTTTGAGATAAGCAGATCAAGTGTTATAGTAGTAGTAGTAGTGCTATACATGTTGAGCACCCCTAATCCAGACATCCAAAATCTGAAACTCGCTGGGTGTGGTAGCGCTAGGCTATAATCCAAGCACTTGAGGGGTTGAGGCTGGCTACATAATGAGTTCAAGGCCAGCTTGGATTGCATAGTGAGATCTTGTCTGAAAAAACAAAACAACAACAATAAAAAAAATCTGAAACTCTCGGCAGGCCACAGTGGAAAATTCCACACCTGACCACACGTGACAAATTGCAATCAAAATGTGGGTTCACTGAAAATATAATATGAAATTACCTTCATGCTGGATGTATAATATGTACATGAAACAAATAAACTTTGTGTTTAGATTTGGGTCCTATGCCCAAGATAACATGTTATGCATTTGAAAATATTCCAAAATCAGAAAAAGTCTGGAATCTGGAAACACTTCTGGTTCCAAGCATTTTGAATTAGGGATACTCAACATGTATTCTCATTTTACAGATAAAGAAGCAGGATTAGAAGTGAATTTCCTTCCCCACAGTGGGTCATCAGGCGGGATTTGTGTTTGTAGACTCTTAGGATAGTGTTCTCTGTGTTCCACCAAGCCTAACGCCTAGAGGAGAGTCCTTTGTAGGCAGCTCTATGAGTTTGTCTACTTATTTGTTTACTTGTTTGTTCTTATTTACTAATTAGTTTTTTGAGACAGAATCTCGCCATGTAGCTCAGGCTGGTTTTGAACTCACTAAAGGCCCACACTAGCCTTGCACTCACAGCAGTCCTCCTGACTCAGCCTCTCTCCCGAGTGCTGAGATTGCAGCCATGTGCCACCATGCCCAGCTGGCAGCTATATGACTTTAGAACAGGGGTGGCAAACCCATGACATGCATGCCACAGTGGGCTCTTTGTGTCATTAAAAACTAAAAGGTTCACCATCACTGCTTTAGAGGATAAAAGCAACTTGCTCTTTTGCTCACTGATGTTCTTTGTCTTTCTGCAGCCCAAGGGAAGAATGCATCTGTGCTCAAACCCTGCTACTGCAGCTCCTCCAGAGCTGCTTCTCAGTGCTGCAGCGAGATGCACTGGCTGCCCCTGAGGAGAAGCCTTCAACCCAGTGCCTAGGAGAAGTGGAGGCTGCCAAGGCACTCTACATACACTTATGTGATGGTAGGGGCTTGGTGTGTCCTTGAATGCAGCCCTGTGCCGGTGGCCCACAGGCCTCTTGCTGTAGAGAAGAGGAGGTCCTGTGATCATGTGCAGCAGAAAGAGATCTCGGCTGTGAAAAATGAGCATTTCCTTAGATGCTGTTATGAATTGTTATTTAGAGTTCAGGATTTTTCCTTCATCAACTGACTTCTCTTCCTCCTTGTTTCAGATGTACAGCTGCCTTATGTTGAAGGGTATTACTGTCACACTGTTCAGCCCTAACTTCAGTCAAGATACTGGGAGGAGGCCAATAGATTGAGGGGGAGAGATTGTAATGATAAATTGAGGATGAAACATGTGCAACCATCTGACATTATTTTTAATGCTCTGCCAAGTCGTGTCACAAAAGGGTACAGAAATAGTGAAATAAACTCAGTCACATAGGCTTTGTTTTAGTTAAATGTAAGCAAAAGTAATTTTCTTATACTGCCTCACCTGTGCACAAGTATTTCTTTGCTCTAGTATTAACTATAAAATAGAGTGTGAGTTTGTAGGCCAGTTATAGCAGAGCTATATTGTAAGGGAATAGATGGAATATTAAAGCTGATTCCATTGTTCATTTTTTTAGTGGTAGATAGAGTAGATGGAGACTCTGTGCCCATGGAGATATTAAAACAAGAAGTCAGGAACACCCTTCTCAATGGAGCTGCCATCTTTTTTCCTGATCGACAGACCCGGCGGAATCATCTCTTCACCATGATGGTAACTATCATCAGGATCCCATTCCTCAATTCTATGAGATCTGTTAGGCTCTGCTTTCTCTGAATATACGGTCAGTTTAATTTTCCAAATGTTTATTGATACTAACTGTACGCAAAGCTTCATGAGGCACAGATACCGAAGGACACGGCACTGTTCACAGTCCTAATCTCTGTTTCATAACCTGTTATCTCAAAAAGTCAGTGTAGTCTCCATCTTGTGACTTTCCTACAACCACATTTTCTTTCTCAAATTATGGGAAAATTTAAAACAAATACAAAAGTAGACTAAAGGGTATAATGAATCCTTCCAGTCCCCAAATGTACTCGTCACCTATCCTTGACAATGATAAAGTCAGGCTAATCTTATTTCATGTGTAATGTACCTCACCACAACCTAGCATTATTGGAAATAAATCTTTGACATGTTTTATTTTTAAATATTCCAGTATAACTCTGGAAAGAATATATAACCAAATTTGAATCCTCAAGTGGTTTTTCTCACCTTCCCAGACCCCTTCTCCATGTTACTCGGACTAAGTACCAGGGGTGAAAGATGCTTTCAGGATCTAGAAGCATTATGTTACCAAGTAGAATATCCTGTACAAAGATCTGTTCTATTTCTTTACTGGAAGCCTTTGCCAGGAGGCTGGTAAAGGTTTTTTTTTTTTTTGCTAGCATGTGTTCCACATGAAAAATAGAACATATAATTTCTTGAATGACATCGGTCTCTTAGCAAAGCAGCCCTATCTCTTGCCCTTTGCCCGTCCCATCAGATAGCAGTTGTGAGTGTTCTTTTTTCCCTTCTCATGCTGATGAAATGAACAACACTGCTGACCTGTTACAGTGTGAAACAGTTCTCTCTCCAGGTGATCATGTTGATTGTGACTACATCTTATCTTCCCCACTATCCTAGGCCATGCAGGGCTCCGGACTGTAAGTTCCCTGGGATCCCCCTCAGTAGTTTGTTTGCACAGCAGTAGGTGTTCCATATATTTACTTAAGAAAAAAAATTCCTCAAAGCAGCCCAGTAACCCCATCAGGAGGTCTGTTACCATAGACTCGAAACCTGTAGGACAAAAGGGAAGTTTTGATTCTGTTTAAAAACAGTTCATAGGAAGTGTGCTCTATCACTGCCCTTTGCTCTTGGCATGGCATGTCCAGTAATGAAGAGTATTTGTCTTCTGGAGGTCTGCTTCCTAGACATTTCCATCAGGCTTTTTTGTAAGAAAACTTTCAGATGTTACCTTTGCAGTGAACCAGAGTCACTTGCCACCTTCTGTGTAGATGGTTGGCTGTGCTGCCTCCTAGCACTGGACTAAGTTTTTACTGGGTGCTGTGAAGAGTCTGCTGACCAATGCTTCCTCATACTCAGGAGCAGTGGGTGGTGGTATTTCATGCTGCTCTTGGTCCGTGGGATATCATGGAATAGAGTTTCTGAGTGTACACTTTCTGGTTTTGTAGAAGAATGTCTCTGAGCAGGAGCACAAGCAGTCCCTGCAGCTCACATTCCGTTCACTGTGCACATATTTTAGGTAAGTTTATAATTCTTTTCAATTGTAGAATAGTTCAAACCTCTGCAAAGTTGTTTCCTTGAGTGATCCCTTCTTTTCATGTCTTTTGGATTAGTACTTCCCTTGCCCAACTAGAAAGACTCTGGAGTAAGTAGTTCATAGGCACAAGAGTGACTGAAGTAATGATTAAATAATATAATAGTCTTGTCAAGTCCCAGCCATTATAAAACAAGTTAGAGTTGAACCCATTGAGGACTTCTTTGAGCACTTCAGTTTCTAAGTGAGTCTTAAAGACAAAAACTAAAACCAAGGGGGGTTGGGGTCCTATACTCAGTGCTACAAGCCCACTAGATTAAACCAACTACAAAAGCACAGAGGTGGTAGTTTACAGAGGAAGCAAGCCAGAAGGGGAGACTTTGGAGATTTGTCATGTTTTGGCTACCAGAGAAGCTAACAAACCTGTAGATTGCATTTCTACAGGTCTAGACTCTTGAAGGAGGGAGGGGACTAATACCCCAAACACTGCCTACAAGATGGACTGTACCTGGTATGGATGGTAGTCTTAAAGGGCTGTCTGTATAAAAGCTTTCAGAATCGATTAGCAAGGATGATGCTAGAGCTTGGGGATGTCATGTGAAGAACATTTGGAGACACAGGGGCGTTATTACCCTGGATTGTCAAGTTACGAATCATGAGAGTAAGTGTATTTCACATTGGTGGTTAAAGTGATTAAGGCCTGGAGGATTTATGAGTCTGTGATTGTGGGAGGACAGAGACCACAGCCTGTCTTCCTGATCCAAACTCCTCCCACCCCATGGAACTGGCACTGAAATTTCCCTGGGTTCTTTTTTTGGACCTTTTTAAGATAGAAAACATGAAATCTCCTTCCCGCAACCAGGTGTTGTGACTAGTCTGTGTCCTTTCAGTGATAAGGATCCGGGCGGCCTTCTACTTTTACCTGAGAGAAGCGACCTGGCTGGCATGAACATCAGCGAAGTCCTGGCGGTCATGAACACTCTCCTCTCTGTGGCTGCGCGAGAGGTACTTCACAGCTGCCTCCCTGGCTTCTTTACTTCATGCTTTGCCACATGAGGTCACTGTGCTGCCCCCATAGCCTTCATTCACAGTGTGACTCTCCTCTGTTACTTGACCATTGTACATGAGCACAGTGGCTTCCCAGCCAGCCCCTGCAGAAAGGTGAGCAGCACTTTCTTACCTGCGCCTGGGTAGTCAGCAAGGAGCAAAAGCACAGAAGCTCTTGTTAAGACTTCCTGTGCAAAAGAGGAATGGATTTGTCCCAATTCCCTCGATAGTATCAGTCAGTAACCCCAGCACTTAGTTGCATATTTGTGTGTGAATTTTGTGAAAAGCTATTTTGGATTTTTTTTAAAAAATTAAGATTACTCAGCAAATGTATAGGCTAATCTGAAACTATAGTCTTTTCTATGCTAATGTTTTTGCACTTTTTTTGGTACCGGGGATCGAACTCGGGACCTTGTGCTTGCAAGGCAGGTGCCAGAACCACTGAACTAAATACCCGGCCCTGCACTTTTTTTTTTAACATGAAGGATTTGCTTCTCAAAATGTAGTTCATACTTCAACTGGATCAGGATTACCTGGAAAATTTGAGAGAAATTTATATTTCCAGGTCCTAGCACAAACTACTGGCTTCAAATCTCTAGAGATAGACTTAAGAATGTACATTTTCCTGGGCAAGAAAGCATAATCGCTATAATTCTAGCTGTTCAGGAGGCTGAGGCAGGAGGATTGAAATTTAGAGGCCACTGGCATCACAGACCATGAAGAAACAAGATGAAAACACACAGGAGGGAAAATACTAGGATTCTTTTTCTAGAGATCTAAAACATATACAAATAAAATGCCTCAAAGGCCAAAAAAAAGAGAAAGAGAAATAAATTTAGAGGGCAGACCAGGCAACTTAGTGAGACACTGTCTCAAAATCAATAAAAGGACTGGGGATGTAGATCAGTGGTACAATACTTACCTAACGTACTTAAGGCCCTGAGTTTAATGCATAGTACTGTGGGGGAAGAAATTCTTAACTTTATTTTTTGATCAGTGTTCTGTTTTTTGCTGTCATATTAATGTTCTGTCCTTCACATTGTGCTTATTTCCATTATCGTGCCTATCTAAGTCTTCTTTAAAATTTTCACTCCAACCTATTGCTCATCAATATTTGCTTTTTTCCCCACTTACCGTGGCTCCTTCTAATATCTGTCTTTATTTCCGCCATTTTCCACACCTTCCCTTTCTCCTGGAGCACATTGAAATTCTACCTGATCCTCAAACACCTGAAGCCTTGTCTAAGCTCTTGGCCTGTCCATCCTTCCTTTGGAGTTACATCCTCAGTGCCTTTGGACAGAAAGCTTCAGGGTTGTCATGTATTTCCTCTCCCCTACCTATCTCCCTTTGTCCATCTGTCCATCCCTCCCTCTGTCTCTGCCTTCCTTCCTCCCTCCTTCCCTCCCTCCCTTCTGTCCTTTTTTTCTCCCTTTTCCTCTTCTTCCACCACCTAGGAACTCTCACTGAGCTACATCCCTACCCCTTCATTCATTTACTTAGTAGCTACAGGACCTTACTATGTTGTCCAGGCTGGCCTCGAACTTTAAATCCTCCTGCCTCAGCCTCCTAAACTGCTGACATTACTGGCAAGCACCACTGGTTTTCATAAATATTGCTCAAACCTGGGCCATTTGACTCTGGGTCTTCTCTTTTCACTTGGTAACATTTGCTGTAAGATGCATGTGGGAAAATGGAGTGGCATTTGTCCAAGAAAATTTCCCATAACTGTTCTCATATAGAGATCAAATACTTGTTCTTTCTTCTCTTTAACTCACTGATACTCTGATACAGAGTAAGTTACAAGTGTCATCAAATCTCCTAGGCCAGAGTTCACTGTAGCCATTGACATAGTTTCCTAAATCATCTTTCAATAAAAACATTTATGGTTGAGCTGGGCATGGTAGTAGACATCTATAATCCCTGCTGAAGCAGGAAGATCCCAAGTTCAAGGCCAGCCTGGGCAACTTAGCAAGACTCTGCTAATGAATGAATGAGTGAATGAATGAATGAACGAACACATAAATATCTGGGGATGTAGCTCAGTGGTAGAGAGCTTGCCTGGCATTCCCTGGGTTCAGTTCTCAGTACCAAAAAAACAAAACAAAACAAAAAACAAGAAAAACAATTTATGGTTAAACTAAAGAGGGTGGGTCAGATTAGGAAAAAAATGTAAAGCTGGTCAAAATGTGCCTAGCGTGACATTTTTTGCATAAATCTGTTAATTTAATAGTGCTGTCTGCTGTGTGTGAGGCCCTGCGCTAAGTACAGGGAGACAGTGATAGAGGAGCCCATTCCTGAGAGAAGACAAATGTGTGATCAGACAGTTCTGACTGGGCAGCAGGGGCTATCAGCAAGTGGGACCCTTAGGCTGGCAAGAGAACATACCTCATTCTGTGTGATGGGGCTGGGGAGAGGACCGAGGAGGGCCTTCTTAGAAAAGGTGGTACTCTAGCACTCAGTGCAAGGCTGTGAATAAGGCTTCACCAAACACAGAAGAGGAAGGAAGAACTGCAGGTAGAGGGAGCAGCATATGCAGAGGCCTGTGACAAGATGGGGAGGAGCAGGTATTTGAAAGGGGGAATGATCTCCGGTAGACTTTGGTATTGAGATCTGGCTGCACACTGAGGAGAGCAGTCAGTGCTAGAGAGTTCTAATCAATAATAAACAGGTCATAGTTGAAGACATGACTATAGTCATCATGGTATCACCTCTAGGCATCTTGAGGAAATCTAGAGAGAAGATCAGCCAGGAGAATAGGAGTGAGTGGCCAGAAGAAATTCAGGACACTTTGGAGGCTGAGGCAGGAGGATCACAAGTTCAAGGCCAGCCTGGACCCTCTTTCAAAAAATTAATTCATTGTTCAGGGGAGACGGAAGATGGAGAAGATCAATACAGTGGACCCTTCACTTAAAAACTCAATTCATTCACGAGGGCTGGTTGTAACTCAAGTTGGTTGTAAGTCAAGACTATTTTTCCTATTAGAAATACCCATAATGCATTCTGAACCTCTCAAAGCACCCCCTAACTAACCTTTTCATAATAAAAAAGAGTTGTATAATGTGCTTAATTTACCAGAAACACCAATAATTTTCCTAGTGTATTCACCAAAAAGTTATAAAATGTGCCCAGTTTACCAGAAATAACAATTTCATACTGTACTTACCATTCAAGTTGACATCTTTGGCTTGCAAGGAGGATGAAATGGAAGGTGGATATTGTTTAGAAGGAGAGTTCCCTTCCATAAGAACATCAGGAATCTAGCTCTTTGGTTTCCTTTCTGTCCTGGAGAATCTGTGGGCCACTAGGACCTGCTTCTGGCTCACTAGGTCTCAACCTTTTCAGAACTAAAAACTGGTCTAAGGTTGTCTGTTTCTGATATGACAGTGTCATTAAGCAAGTGAATGCAGCAATTGGCTTTTTCTCTGGTAGGTCTTCTCTACAAATGTTTGTAGCTCTGTCCATTTTTTCAGGATTTCCTTTATTTCAGGAGAGCTTTGCTGCACTGATTGTTTATACTCCCCCTCCTGTTCAGAAAGCTCCTCCACTGCCATTCTCTCTTGCTCAGCCAGAAGTTGCTGAAGTTCTTTGTAGACAATTCCTCTGAGTGTTCCTCCACCAGTCCCTCAACATCACAGTTGTCTACCTGCAAGCCTATGGACTATAGCAACAACATCATCAACCATGTGGTCAGTTGAAGGTTCAGGCTCCTCTACACAGCCTTCAAAGTCTCTGTCCTGTATAACTTTAGGCCACACTTTCTTCCAGGCCGATCTCAGTGTGCTTAGAGAGACATTGGCCCAGGATTTCTCAGTTAACCCCACACAGGAAAGGATGTTGTAATGTTCCTTCCAGAACTCTTTAAGGGTTAAATCTGTATCTGCAGCCATCCAGAAGCACTTCAGGAACAGTTCCTTGGTGTATAGCTTCTTAAAGTTAGCTATAACCTGCTGGTCCATAGGCTGTAATAGTGGAGTTGTGTTAGGTGAGGAGAACTCGACTGAGAGCCTTGGGAATTCTTCAGCCAATTCTTCCAAATCTCATGGCTGAGCAGGAGTATTGTCCATAATGAGGAGAGCTTGAGTGGTAAACCTCTGTCCTCTAGATATTTCTTAACTGTCGGACAGAAAGCCTCCCTGATCCACTCAAGAAAAAGAACTCTTGTTACCCAGGCTTTTGCATTAGATCTCCACATGACCCCAGCCTATTTTTCATGACTATGTTTCCTGAGCACTCTAGGGGTCTCAGAGTGATAAAACAAGAGAGGCTTTATTTTTTTTTTTGGTACCAGAGATCGAACTGAGGTCCTTGCACTTGTGCAGCAGGCGGCGAAACCACTGAGCTAAATCCCCAGCCCGAGAGAGGCTCTGTCTTGAGGTCACCACTTACATTGGCACATAGCAATAAGGTTAGCCTATCCTTTCTAGGCTTGTGGCCTGCCATTTTGTTATCTTCCTGGGTAATGTATGTTCTCCTGGGTATTTTCTTCCAGAAAAGGCCAGTTTCATCACAGTTAAAAACTTGGAAGAGGTACATTTTTTGGGGGGCTACCGGGGATCAAACTCGGGACCTTGCACTTGCAAGGCAGGCGGTGGAACCACTAAGCTAAATCCCCGGCAATCACAGTTAAAAACTTGATGAGAGCAAAAGCCATTTCTCTGTGTCATCATTTTGAAGTGGTGGATGTAATTTTCAGCAGCCCTTCTATCAACACTAGCTGCTTTACCATGCTATGTTATGCTGTGAACCCCAGTTCTTGCTTTAAAATTGTGAAACCACCCCTTACTGGCATGAAATGTTTCACCATTATAACTTGTTGATGGATTGTCCTTTACAAGATCTGCATTTTAGCCCTAGCTTTTAGACTCAGATAGGCTATATAACCTACCAGCTGTTTTTGTTAATCCACATTAATAATGGCCTCACTGCCTTGTCTAACACTGTTGATCGTGACTGACTAATTTGAGTAACACCTTTAGCAACACTATCTTCCTTATACAAATCTTTTCTCTATAAGATTGTCGAGATGTTAGATTTCAACATGCTGTACATATTAGCGAGATTGGTCACACAAATGCCACTGTCATATTTCCCCACAATTTCCTCCTTCTTTTCGATTGTGATTGCTTTCTTTACCTTCCCTTCCTTTGCTTCTTTTCTAGATTTTTTGGGGACCATTTTGATAGCAGCAATCATAGCAATTATATAAAGTACTGACCAAAATTATGTCCACAAACACGTGCATCTGGGCTCATACTGATGGTTACGTATGCTTATATACACTTTCCTGGCCTTGCGAGTCTGTTTATAACTGCACAAGTGGCCAGCATTCTGGTTGTAACCGAAGACTTTGGCTGTAAGTTAAAAAATAAAATTCCAGTTATAATCCAAGTTATGACCATATGTAAGGCCGGTCATAACTCGAGGGTTCACTGTAGCTTTGGGAGAAATAGAGGTCACTGAGCCTTTGAGATTCCTGGAAAAGCTTTATTCTCTAGGTAGTAATAGAATGTCTGTGAGAATAGTCACAGCAGCAGTAGGATGGCAACAAAAGCACGTCAGATGAAGGCAGTTTTTGTAAATGATTCATGTACAAGTGAATACATGTGAATGGGTATCATAGAAATAACTGTTTAAGGACTAGAACATTACTGGTATCTTTGAAATCCAGACTCTCCACCTACATGCTCTCTCTTTTTTTTTTTTTTTTTTTTCTGAGACAGGGTCTCCCTATGTAGTCCAGCCTGGCCTTGAACTCATGGCAATCCTCCTGCCTCAGCCTCCTGAGTACTGGAATTATAGGCATGCACCACCACACCTGACCACCCACCACGTGCTCTTTCATGGCTCATCTTTCTCTTTCTTCCCCAGACAGAACCACCATCTGAAGTTCATGTTCATCATTCTTTTGTTTTTCTTTCTACTTATCCTTGCAGAGCACGTTTGTTTTGTTGGTTTTGACTTTTAGTAGGCTCACATGGCATACAATCTTCTGTGATGTGTTTTTTTCATTTAACAATGTTTTTGAGATTTACACATGTTGATATATATGTACTGTCATTTATATTCACTGATACACAATATTCTCTATATACACTTGCTACAACTTAACCATTTTACTTTGGAGATATAGTTGTTCCAGCCTGGGGCCATTAGCTATGTGAGAGTGCCAATATAAGCATACCTCATGGCTCTGGTGTGCAAGAGTTTATCTCTCGAGGCCAGTTCACCCTTCAGAAAAACTCCCAAGAACAAAGTACTGGTTAGAGAGCTATGAAAGGTTGAATAATTATTTTGAAGGTGAGAGAGAGTTGATGGAAGCCTCAGGGAAAGAAACCAGAGCAAGAAGAGATGAGGTAAGAGAAGCAAGTAATGAGCAATGGTGATCCTGAGTTGCAGAAGGTGTCCCATGGAACAAAAAATGTTCGTGTAGGTTTTGAAAAGTTGCGGGGAAAGAGGGAAGTTGGGTTTTTTTGTTTTGGTTTGTTTTGGTTGAGACAGGATCTTGCTATGTAGTTCAGGCTGGATTTGAACTCACTATGTAGCCCAGGCTGACCTTGAATTCACAGTGATCCTCCTGCCTCAGTCTCCTGAGTGCTGAGATTACAGGTGTGCACCACCATGCCTAGCCACAGGTAAGTTTTTATAATGCCATCTTTCTTGGCTCACTGCTGAGCCAAAAGCTCTTTGGTGAGTATTCCCTGTACACACTGTTTGTTTGTTTGCCAGTGGTCCTTGGCTGTGCTCTGTGAGTGGCCTTGTTTGGACAGTTTCTCTTTGCTTCCTTGCAGTGTGAACTGTTGATGCTCAGTGGGGCCCAAGGGCAGATTGGCTCTGTGCTCTTCTCCCTGTTCTGGTCAGTCCAAGGCAGCCTACTCTCCTGGTGCTACCTGCAGCTGAAGAGCACAGATTCTGGAGCCAAAGAGCTTGCTGTGGACCTTATTGAAAAATGTGAGTGTCAGTAGAAGATCTACGAAAACAGACTAGGATCTGGGTTTTGACTTTGAGTGTTCTCTTTTCAGTACCTCATGCATCAAGTTTTGTTGTTTTTTTTAACCACAATTCACATCTGTGGGTCATTTTTATCTCCTAAAAACAGAAAAAAAAAATATATGCATGCCAGGTTTCCTGTCTGACCATGGTAGTATCCCTACGTATTTTTATTGTAGAATTTGATCATTCCATAGCCTAAACATTGCCTTATAATCATACAGCACTCTTAGCTAATATCTCACTTGGGAGAAACTGTCATCCTATCTTAGTCAGTTTATCCAAACAAGAAAGTCTTAAGTGTTTAAAGTCCAACCCGTTTGGGACTCCTCCTGTCTCTCAGTTGCTGTTCCTATTCCTTATTCCTATTCTCCAATAAATTTTCCTACTCTTAAAAAAATAAAATCCAAGGGCTAGGGATTTAGCTCAGTGGCACCGTGCCTGTCTTTTAAGTGCAAGGTCCTGAGTTTGATCCCCAGGATTAAATAAATAAATAAATAAAATCCAAGGTGTAACCCAGAACCAAGAATACTCAGGTTGATGTCCTATCAACACACAGAAAATGATAGGAAATCCAACAGATTCTGAGAAGTTTTGTGGGGAAAATTCACTTCCATCAAACTTGATCTCAGCTACTGTGACAAACATAGTTCTAGTGTAGGGTCCTGCCACCTAGAGCTCGCCCCGTCAGTTTGGCCCGCCTAATGCATGAGAGCCTAGTGTAGTGCAAAGGAAAAGGGAGGCTGACAGTTGTGTCCCTCAGCCACGTAACTTCACTTATAGAAGTGGTGTCTCTACTTTTGTTGAAAAATAGCACAGACAAAAAAATACTCATTTTGCACTGATTTTCCCTCCAGAGGAAACCATTTGAATGACGCTTATTGGTCTCACGATCTTTCATTGTAGAATCCTCCAAGTACAAACCTTTTTTGGCCCCCTCCAGCTTTACCCTTGGTGACAACTAAGCATGTGATATTTTCCATAAGATATAACTTTTTTTTTATGTTTTGGTAGATGTGGTACAGTTTTTGGCAAGCACGAGAGTGATTTTGGAATCCCTTTTGTCACAGTATAGTGGAAAGACCATAGTAGAAAAATTGTGTAATTCAGTGTTTTCGATGGCAGCTCGCCAACTGGTAAGAAAAAATGGTAGCTATGTGTATGAGCAGGGTGGGGGTTGGCGGTCCACACCCCCAGGCAGAGTCTGAGGTAGATGCCAAGTGCTTATTCTTCTTCCTTTAGGTCATTTTCCTGCTAGACTTTTGCACTTTAGACATTCCACACTGCACACTTTTGCGAGACTTCAGTACCCTCACAGAGCTGTTGAAGAAGCTCTGCAGTGATCCAGAAGGAGGACTAAACAAGGTAACTCAAGTTAGCACCTGAGCCAGGAGAGATATAAATTGCCTGTGGAAGGCAAATTGTTGGTGGCTTTCCCAACATGGATAGTAAATGCTGATCAAGTTGATTTGTCATAGTTAGCTACAGAAAGACAATTACAAAGGCACGTCAAATCCATATAAGTAAATAGCCAGATTGAAGTTCAGAAGAGAAAATGCATGTTGGAAGCCAAATTATGTTTGATATATCAAAGAATTGTCTCTCTTACCTAATTTTATAGTACATCAAGTTTTCTCATGGTCGTGTTTGAGTTTCACAGCAACCCTGTGGCAGTAGAAAGGGCATATACATTTATTCTTTTTTTTTTTTTTTTTTTTTGAGACAGAGTTTCACTATGTAGTTCAAGGTGACCTTGATCTCACTATGTAGGTCATTCTAGCCTCAAACTTGCAGCAGTCCTCTTGTCTCAGCCTCCTAAGTGCTGGGATTACAGGCGTGTGCCATCTGGCATTTAACATTTAACAGGTAAAAAAGCAAAGACTCAAAAAATAAAAGGAAAAAAAAAAGGGAAAGTGGTCTTGAATTTGCCAAAGACCCAAGCAGGAACAAGAGACCTTGAAATCCCTAATTCAGTGATTTTTCCTACTGGAAATCCATACTAGTTATGATTTCTAAGAGATAGTTCTGGATCAGGGGTATTGACTCTGTGGTAGAGCACTTGTCTACTATGTACAAGGCCCTGGGTTTGACTCCCAGCAATAAGAAAAGAAAAGAGAAAAGAAAAGAAATTCTGTCATAGCTGAAAGATTAAGAGATTAAAGCTGGTCACAAGGTTCCTATACTGTAGGAAAAGCACATGTCTGCTGTGCGGAGTGATGGATGTCTGTTGATCTCTGGGGGCAGAAAGGCCAAGTGTGTCTTTCAGCTGTGTGATGGTTGGTACGGAGCTGTCAAAGCCTGGCTGCCTGCAGCCCTGATACCGAAACAGTCTGTTGCACATGGCTGGCCATGCAGTGATGAACACTGTTTTCTCTTGGCTCCTTTGTTTGCCTAGCTGGATGTGGAGACGTGGCAGCAGGAACAGCCTGTGGTACTGCATACATGGACCAAGGAATCTGCCCACAACTATGAAAATAACTGCCATGAGGTGTCCGTCTTTGTTAGCCCAGGGGCAACCTATTTTGAGGTGGAATTTGATGAGAGATGTGAAACTGAGAAGAGGTAAGATTCACATGTTCTTTTTCCCTAAGCGAAAAAAGAATCAAAAATGAGAGAAGGAAAGTAATAATGATCATTCCTTCACAGGTATGATTATCTGGAATTTACTGATGCTAGAGGTGGGAAAACACGCTATGACACGAAAGTTGGCACTTATAAATGGCCCAAGGTAAGTGGTATTCCCAGAAAGAGATCAAATACTTACTTCTGCAGTAATTCTCCCCGGTCAGCCCTCAGGCAATAAAGCTACGGTCTTTGAAGGCAGCAATTATGTTACACTTTTATAAAAGGAAGGGTTATATCAGAGTCCCACAAACTTCAATCTCTCACCTATTTTGTAAATAAGAGTTTTTTGGAACACAACCATGTGTTTCATTTATAGTCTCTTGCACTGCAGTGGCAGAGCTGAGCAGTCATAGTAGAGACTATGTAGCCTGTAGAATCTAAAATACTGGCTCTCTGGTTCTTTATAGGAAAAGTTTGCAAAAACCACTAGTCTCTATTAGCATTGTCTGGAGTAAATGAAAAGCTATCGCTCATAGCAAAAAAGGGCCAGTGGGTCCAGCAGGAGAGCCCAGCCTGTGGTAAAAACCAGGAGTTCAGCCCACAGTTAGTGTGCTTGACCTTGGGGCTAGAGGTAAAGACCTGCCTCAGACAGCTGACCTTCTCTAGTGTCAGGAGTTTTGACTGGGAACAAAGGACTGGGTGAGCATCTCTAGCTGAGTAGGTAGTGGGTACATGGTTGTCTACAGTTGAGAATGCTGAGCAGCATTTCTCTGCAATTTCTTGAAGTAGTTGTGAATTTTATGTTCAGTCATGCCTTTGTACTTTCTCCTTTAGTAGTTTTGGACTTGTGGAAATAAAGAGCACTGTTAAATTTAGATGTTTTGAGTCACAAAGAGCATTCTTACTACTGAAATGGTGCCTCCTGACATCTGTTTGACCACATGGACTGTTGTTTGTTCTAGAAAGTGACCTTTAAGGATGGTCCTCGGCTGCAGTTCCTTTTCCACTCTGACAGCAGCAACAATGAGTGGGGCTACAAATTCACTGTCACTGCCTATGGCCTGCCTGATGTTGCAGTGTCTTGGGGTTTGGATTTACAACTCCTTGTCTCTCGGCTGATGGGGCGCCTTTCCTCCCAGTGTATGGCACTCAAGTCTGTGCATCGTAAGTCCACAGCCCTGCCCTTTCCCATCTCCTTACAATTATGCTGAAGAGCAAGGTGTTACCTCTCTTGTAGATTGTCCAGCAATGACAGCAGAGCAAAGGTATTGATACTCTTCCTTTTCAGTATCCTTACACCCAAACCAGAACAGATTGAACAATGATACCATTGTCAGGAAGTTTCTTGACTCAGACTTTGGACCACATCACAGAGGCTGCTGTGGATTCCCTCTGTGGAAGACAAGTAGGAGAGAGAAGTTTTTTGTTTTTTAACAGCATCATAATCTTTTAAATTTTTTTGTATTTTTAAAAAAAATTTTTTTTCCAGTACTGGGAATCAAACTCAGAACCTTGCACTTGTCAGGCAGGCACGGGGACACTGAGCTGCATCCCTGGCCCCATAATGTTTTCTTTCTTTTTTTTTTTTTTGGTACCGTGGATCAAACTTGGGACCTTGCGCTTGTGAGGCAGGCACCGGAACCACTGAGCTAAATCCCCGGTCCAATCTTTTCTTATAAGTAGATTTAGATGTTCTCCAATAAGAAGGCAGAAATACAGACTACATTAATTATATATCTTTTAAATAAGTGAATATTTATGTAAATATATATAGATATATGAATATAGATTTTATCTTAAAACAATTTGTTCAGCTTGTTACTAAATTCTCCCAAGGAAGGCTGGAAGTGTGTAGCTCAGTAGCTTGCCTAGCATACACAAGGCCCTGGGTTTGATTCCCAGCACTGAAAAAAACAAAACAAACCCCCCAAAAAGCTAAATTCTTCCAAGGAACAAGACTTATAAAATAAGCCTTTTTTCTATATTTTATTTCTATATCATTTCTTGAGTTTTTCTGACTGTGAGAATAAAATATAAAAAATACATATTGGCGAAAAACCAAAGAAAAGTTTAATCATCCTAACAGAGATAACTATTATTAACATTTGTATTTGTTCTTACCCAGTCTTTATCTCTATTTCTATTTATATCTATGATAGTGTTTCTTTTGTTTTGTTTTGTTTTGTTTTGGGTTTGGGTTTTTTGGCAGTGCTGGGATTGAACCCACAGCTCTGTAACCTGCTAGGCAAGAGCTGTACTCAGTGAGCCACAGCTCTAGCCCCACAGTGAGTATTTAATTATTTTTTATAAAATCAAGTTTACAAATTATGAATGCCTTTCCATAATTAATATTCTTAAGTAGCCTGTTATGCCCTAGGGGTGGTTCATACTCTGTTTTCAGTTAACTAAATAGATTAGTCACTTCAAAGGTACCTTGTAACTGAAGTTGTCCCCCAGATCAGCAGCATTTCAGGTTTATGGTTTGGGTTCATCTGTGATATGTGTTTATGAGGCATCACAATTATATTCTGCAAAATGTGGATAAATTTCTTCTATTGTTTTAAACCTTTGTCAGTTCAAAGAATCTCAGTACATTGAGAGAAAAAATAGAATTCTCATAAACCACCTTCTCGTTGCAGAGGTAGGAAGTAACATGGCAATACCACAGGCAAAAATGGCTTCAGTTCTGAACTCTCCCTTGTGGAAACCTGTCTTTAGGCATCAGATTTGTCCAGAATTGGAATTAGAAGCAAGCTGGCACACTCACCCACACCAGGATGGGAAGGAGGTATTTACTCATCCGTCATTTTTCTGTCTGAGTAGAAACTGTTTACTAATATTACTCTAAGTTGTAAACATTTGTGTTTATCTTACCACCCTCATTAGCTGTTAACTTTTGAGGCAGAAGCTGTCCCTTGTTTGTTTTCCCTACTGTGTACCACAGGGACCAGTGCTCAATGAGCATCCAAATACAGAATGTATAATTCTTTAGTGAAATGTAGTAGGTGCCCAGTAAATCTCTCTTGATGGCATTATCAAAGAAATAAGTCCAGTCTACTTTTAGTGTCTACTGAGTCACACTTTAGAGTAAATGATTTGTTCTGTCCTTTTTTTTTGGTACTGGGGATCGAATTCTGGACCTTGCACTTGCACGCCAGGCACCAGAACCACGGAGCTAAATCCCTGGGCCTATTCTGTCCTTTTTGTTCTCCACAGAACTATAGCACTTTATTTAGGTATGCAATATTCAGAAAAACAAATAAGTTTGCCCTCTGTCTCTACTTCTAGTCTCTCCTTTCCCTTTTTGCTGTTCTATTTCTGCTCCTTTCTCCCCTCCCTTGTTCCCCTGCTTCCTTCCAAATTATTCCGTGGTTAATTGCCAAGTACCGTGACTCTTCCTCCATTTCTATTATCTGTAACCTCTCTCTTAAAGGTTCCTTCAGACTCTCTCTTTTGATCACATGAAAGTCCACTATCTTCTCTTACATCTTACTGCTCCATCTGCCTCCTTTGTTGGCCTTTCTTGTTCCTCCTCCTCTAAAGCGTAGGTTTTATTCAGGCTTCCTTCCCTTTCCTGCAACCCACCAAGACATCATCTTCTCTGCTTCCTTTTATTGTCCCCTCTGTGGGAGTAATTCCTAAATACCAGTTTCCTGCCCTAGTTCTTCTCTCAGGCTCCAGTTTGTATCTCCATCTTCCTATTAGGTGTTTCCATTTCAAAGTCCTCACTCCTAGTAAGTCTGAAGTATAAAAGCAGACTGTCTTTCTGACTGACTGCTCACTTCTGTTATGGTCATTATTATTTGCCTAGGCCTAGAAGCCACTTCTCCCACATGTCTCCTTCATCCCTGTCCTGCTCTTGCCCTTCCTGTCCAGTCACCTGCAAGCCCTGTGGATTCTTCCTTGTGATCTTCATCTCTGTCCTTTCCTCCATCTCTATCTTTATCAGGTCCCCATCTTGTACCTGCATTATTACATTGCTACCTACCAAGTTTTTTTTTAAACCACTGCATTATCTTGTCATTCCACGGCCAAGCACCAATAATGGCTCCCTGTTGCCCACAGGGTGAAGTCTAAACTCCTCAGTGTGACAATCAAGGCTCTCTACAGTCTCCTTTCACCTTACCTATCTGACTCTAGTTCCCACCACTCCCCAGCTGAGACTTCAGGCCAGGTCAGTCTCCCCACTGACTCTTAACCTCTGCTAATGGTGTGTCCTTTAGGGCCAAGCCTGCCTGTTCTTCAGGGTCCAGCCCTAACCCCATGTCTGCAGGAGGCTTTTCTTAATTACTTTAACCTGCCAGGAATTTTCTCCTTTGAATTCTCAGTACTGAGTGTCTCCTCTAGGCATTTGGCACTGGATAGTCTTTTGCTTTATGGTAGTACTAGTTTTAATGCTTTTAATGTTTTATTTATGTTCACCTTTTTTAACCTATACATCTGTCTGGTTCCCCTAAAATAGATTTAAACTTCTTGAGAGTATGAATCATGTTTTATATTTCTGCTTTAGCCTAGTGGGCGCTTAATATTTTATATTTTGAATTAATATGTTAAACATGATGGAGTTTTTTCTTATTCCCAGGTTAAGAACATCCCTGATGATCCCTGCTGCCATTTTCTCCTTGATTTTGCCCAGTCAGAGCCTGCTCAGAACTTCTGTGGGCCATATTCAGAACTTTTCAAAGGATTCATACAGGCATGTAGAAAACAGGCCCCAAAGACAGATATAGTTGCTGGTTCCACTATTGATCAAGCTGTGAACGCCACCTTTGCTGCTCTGGTATATCGCACTCCAGAATTATATGAGAAGCTGCAAAAATATGGTAACTTATATTACAGGGAATATGTTTGATCTGAAGGCTAATTGCTAAGTTTTTAGAAGGCCTATCTTAAGTGAAAACTTAGAAATATTTTAAAATGTTACCACATTTCTCCATCTGTAAACTTCATCTGTTTTCTAACCTGCCAATCAAAAGATTCATGGATAATTTATAGTGAGCAGATTGTAATGTGTGACAAGAAACTGAGTTTCTGAATTAGCAGTTACTTTGTCTTTATCCAGAATTCTCATGGGAAACTACCAAGAAATTTAATGGAAAGAAACCTTAACAGGTCATGGTCCTGGCTCAGAAACTCAGAAGTTGTGCATGGTCAGGTTAATCAAACAACCTTTCTGCACTTCAGTTTCTCACCTGTAAAATTGGTTTAGAATTGATTAGCTCTAACAGTCTAAGAAATTCCAATTAAAACTGCAGATGTTTGTTATTGAATATACTAATGACACACATTTAGGAGGAGTAAAATGTTACTACTAACTTCCCTTGTTAGACTCACAGCTTCTTTGTGGCATCCATCATCCCCCCAGGCTTCCTTTGTGGATAGCCTACTGCTTGCCATTTCTTTTCCTCATGTTCCTAGGGTACCATCTCTGTGTGGCAAACATTGATGTAGCCTAACAAAGACCCACAATGAGGGGAGAGTCCCTCTCTACACTCATTCAGGGGAAAAATCTTTCAAAGCTTGCCCAAAGATAAGATGTAAGTTTTCCAAGCATGTTGCCAGGGTTTGTGTTCTTTCCAGGGAGGATACAAGTAAGTGAGACTAGATGCTTCCTTGCATTAGAGTAGTACTTCTACTTATGGTATTGTTGTAATCAATACTGTTATCACTATAATCTGTATTGCTCAGTCCTTTAGATCTCACAGTGCAGAGTTTATTTCCCAATTGCAAAAATATCTCAACTGTTCCTCAAATCTTAATATCTCCTTTCAATAACCACTCAAATAAACTACAATGAGACATGTATGATTTATGGAAACAAATGTTGTATGGAAGAGTATATCTCTGCTGAGAAATGGGAGAGAGGAGGTAATTGTAAGGTAATTGTAAGGAAAAAGGGAATCAGTATATATATTGTTTTATTCTTTTTTTGTGACTATTCCCATTTTATTTTTTTCATGATTAATTTTATTGGTACATTTTAGATATACATAGTGATCACTTTCATCATAGGGAATTTGTACCTGTACATAATATATCTTTTTTTTTTTTCTCAAATTCTTTTATTGGTACATTTTAGGTATACAACACAATTACATTTCGCATTGGAAACTTGTACCTTTACAAGATGCATCTTGGTTCTTATTTTTTCCCCATTCCTAGCCCTCCCTTCACCCCCTCCACCCTTCCCTATTTACAAAGACTTTATTTCCATTTTTTCCATTTCTCATCATTTTTCCTTTCCCTTCTTTCCTTTCCCCTGCCCCTCCCACTACCCCTACCCCTTTGGACCTTTTCTTCCTATTTTACATTATTGATTATTCATTCTAATCATTGGTCCATTTTAGGTATACAATGTAATGACATTCATCGTTGGAAATTTGCACCTTTACATAATCTCTCTTGGTTCTTATTTTTCACCCTTGCCCAGCCCTCCCTTCAACCCCTCCATCCCTCCCTATTTACCTGTATGTAATGTATCTTGATTCTTCTCTTTTTTTCCCCAATCCTCTCTGCTCCCTTCAACCTTTCTTCCCCTCCTTATTTACAGAAGCTTTGTTTCCATTTTTTCCTTCTATTCTTTTTTTTGTAATCAAATTATAGTAAGGAAACTGGACCATCTTTATTACTTGAGGAACTTTTCAGAAGACAGCTAAAAAAAGCCTATGGGCTAAAAGCTGACAAATAGAAGACCTCTTTTGAGGGGAAAGTTCAAACCATGTTCAGATACTACATATGTATTTGCAGTAGAGAAACATACAATCAAATGTGGGAACTAGAAATATCTCAGGTACACAGGTTGTTTCTAGAATGACTGCTCTTGTTGGTTCAAAGAGGGCACGTTTTGTCTCAGTTCTTTCTGTAAGTGTCTTTATAATACAGACACCACAGGTAAAGACTGTTCATGAGCTCTGAGCTGTGTTGAAACTGGTGTTTGCCTACCTGATTTTCTCATTATTTTTTTAAAATGGGTTATTTCTAACTGTTTGGGTTACCTTAATTCCATGTTGGTGTGAACCCTTTCGGTTTAGAAATGTAGGAGAGAGCTAGGCACAGTGTGCATGCCTGTAATCCCAGCACTCGGGAGGCTGAGGCAGGAGGATTGCTGAGTTCAAGGCCAGTCTGAACTACATATTGAGACCCTGTCTCATAAAACAAAAAAAGAAAAAGAAAAAGGAGAGGAATTTTTCAGCTAGCGTATAAGCTGTGTGAGGGAAGGGACCATGTCTTCTCAGCACTGTCTTCTCAGTGCCTGGTGTAGAGCTTGGCACATTCTAGGGTTTCAGAAAATATTTGCTGCCTTATACATTGATGGGACAGATGCTTCAACATGTTCTGGGATACTATATTTTGGGTTTTGGATGCAGAGAAAGGCAAGCCTCAAGGTCTTTAAAAAAAAACTGGGAGGCTATCTGTGTAGTTATAAAAACAGTACTCAGTCATGTAGAGACAGTACAGAAAAGCTTTTAAAAATTACAAACTACAGTCTCATCACTTACAGTGCACCTGTATGTTAAATTTTTTGGTGTGTCCACTTGACTTTATTATCTAGGTATATTTGTATGTGTGTAGAGATATATATTATCTATTTTTAATATACTCTTTTTAAATGAGATTTTATTTATACTATTTTGTAATCTGCTTTTTTTTTGGTACTGGGGATCAAACTCGGGTCCTTGCGCTTGCACAGCAGGCAGTGAAACCACTGAGCTAAATCCCCAGCCTGTAATTTGCTTTTTTATTTAATGTAACATGAACTTTTTCCCGTGTTTCCCATGAGTAAAATCATTTTTTACTCAATTTTAATAGTAAAAAAATTGACTTTTAGTATTTTTAGGTTTTACTTTTCATATTTTACTCACTTTTAACAGTGTTTCTGTTTCAGAAATAGTTTAATCAGTTAGTTTGTGGTAACATAGGGAACTCAGGTATTTGTACCTTAACTGATAAGTTTTCCTCTATCCTTTTTTTTTTTTTTTTGGCACTGGGGATCGAACTCGAGACCTTGCGCTTTCGAGGCAGGTGCCGGAACCACTGAGCTAAAGCCCCAGACCTGATAGTTTTTCCTTAAAAACCTCTCTGACTGTCTCCAAGGTGTGTGAGGAGACTTCCTCTGTATTTTAGGGGAGTCAGAGGATACTTTGTGCTTATTCCTGTAGTAGTGAATTGTGTTAACTGAATGTAATTTTCCCCTCTCCTTTCTTCCCTAGTAAACAGCGGGGGCAAGACACCGTTGAGTGAGGACTTTGCACAGGTGTATTCCTTGGCAGATGGGATTCGAATATGGATGGTAAGAGCTTCCTTCCCATGTGATTTTGATGTACTTCAGGTTTTCTCACCATGATATCACAGAACTAAGGTCACAACTCTTTTTCTCAGTAATCTAAATTGTGTCACAGAAATGTCAAGGCAGAGAATTTTTTTAAAAACTAAACTTTGGTATCATGAACAGATACAAAGTAATTTAGAGGGCCAGGGATTTAGCTCAGTGGTTCTGGTGCCTGCCTCACAAGCACAAGGTCCCGCCCTGGTACCAAAACAAACAAACAAACAAAAAGAATTATCCAGAAAATAATTTAGAGCCCTTGAAATCATAATTTGGTGAGTGTTAAAAATACTCAGTATAAGCTGGGTGTGGTGGCACATGCCTATAATCCCAGCACTCTGGAGGTTGAGGCAGGAGGATTGCTGTAAGTTCAAGGCCAGCCTGGGCTACATAGCCAGACTTTGTCTCAAAAACAAACAAACAAAACCCAGAGAACCCTTAGCACACACCCTGTTTATAATGGCACAGTTTGTGATAGCTAAATTTTAGAAACAACCCAAATGCCCATCATCTGATGAATGGATAAAGAAGATGTGGGGTTTTTGTATTTATTTATTTTTGGGATGAACTTGGATCTTGTGCTTGGAAGGCAGGCACGGTGCCACTGAGCTAAATCCCCAGCCCTGTATGCATATATTTTAAATATTCAGCAGTAATTGAGGGGGGAAAATCCTTAACTGGGTGAAGAGTGGACAGTGAAATTGGAAGCAATAGACTAGTTGCAGTAGTTAGATGAAGGTAATTTCTGCAGTTGAGGAGATAAAATAATCAATGGGACTTTGTGATTGATGAGAGTAGTGAAGAGGAAGGAAGAATTTAGGATAGTCCTGGTGGGCTACTCAAGGGGTAGTAGAAGAGCTGAGCAGAGTAGGAAATGTGATCTTGGATCTGGGGGTGAAGAGGTAAGTACAGTTAGAGATCTGTTATTGAGATATCTAGCAAAAGAATTCGACATACTGTAATCTAAATAGCTGACATACTGTAATCTAAATAGCTGTTAATTCACAGAAATTCAAGGCAGAGATAAGGATAGCTTCAAATCACTTGTAATAGTTCATTGGATTTTTAGGTTTTTGTTTTGAGACATCTCACTATGTAGTTCAGGCTAGCCTTGAACACACACCCATCCTACTTCCGCCTCCTGAGTGCTGGGAATACAGGTGTGTGCTACCACACCTGGCAGTAGTTCTCTTTTGAAAAGAAAGTGTGAGTATCTATGAAGAGATAGCTTTAGACAGAATACACAGTGACAAGAACATAGCACCCAATATATAAGTGAACCAGATCTCTCAGACAAAACTAAAAGGCATTGTCATCAGAATGGTAGGAGGAGAATCGGAAAAGTGTGTTGCAGAGAAACCAAGGCAGTAGTAAAGTTTAAAGAAAAAGATTGCCTGAAGAAGTCATCTGTCTTAAACAGTTCAGGTAGAAAGCTGTTTGGTAATTCATAAGGCACTTTGTAGATTATACTTGTGGTTTAGCTTAGACAGATTGCCAACAGTTAGGTGAGATGCAGCCTTCTCCTTCACACCTCTCATCTGTCACATGTGGCCTTCTGCCTGGGCTGTCAACATTGTGGCCCATGCTATGATCATTGCCCAGGCTGCTCCTAAGAGAGCCCTTCTCTTCCTGGAAGTTGCATCATCACGTAGAGGTGGGCCCTCATTCAGAGTAGAGAAGAGATCGGGTTTTGGTCCAGCTTCTGCATCAAGCTGCATGTGTGATGCTAGCAAGACCCTTCATTTCTCTAGAGCTCAGCTTCTTTGTATTAATAGGATTTAAAGGCCCCACTAGCACCAGTGTTCTGGACTTTTTTGTTTGTTTGTTTGAGACAGGGTCTCACTATGTAGTTCAGCCTGGTCTTGACCTCACTGTGTACCCCAGGCCTTGAACTTGCAGAGATCCTCCTGTCTCAGCCTCCCAAGTCCTGGGATTATATAGGCCTGCACCACCACATCCAACTAGACTAGTCATTCATGTATGCAACCTTCCCAATACTACATAGTTGAAAAGTAGTTAGTTTTGCAGATGCCTTTAGACAACTTCAAAGCCTGGAATGCTTCCAAGACAAACAAAAATAGCTCAGCCCTGTGTCCCTGGCAGTTGGACAATAGCTACAAAGTCTATGGTTTCAATGCTGTATGCTTTTGAAGGTAGTAGTTTGCTGTGTTTGTCCTTGATGCCCTGTCTGAACAGCTGAATCATGTGGTTCAAATCCTCCTCCAGTTAGAGATGAAGCAGAAGTCCCTGATGAACGTGGGTAGTGAGGCAGAAGAGAAACACGGTTTGGAAGCTGCTGAGACGAACCCAGAGAGCCTAGGTGAGTGAGCCAACGCCATGTAGTCACCAGGCCTTTGGTTTTGCTTGAGGAGCCTAGAGAACTAGCACCCGGTTCCTAGGTTGTCTTAGTTGAGGCTGTACTGACTAGGGGCAGTAATAAAAGTACTAAATGTCATTTCCAAGGATGTATCACAGGTAGAGAAAAATACCAGCGAGGAGTAATTATTTCCTGAAATACTCCACGGGGAGCAGCTTTCTAATTTCTTCTCTTAGGAGACCTCAGGTGCTTTTCTAGCTGTATCTTATGTTTTAAAAGTGTGTTTGTATTTAACATTCAGTGAAATTAAAGGATTATTATTAATTTTTTAATGATATCATAGGTTATTTTTTTAAATCCTTATTTTTTTTTTGGTACCAGGGATCGAACTCAGGATCTTACGCTTGTGAGGCAGGCAGTGGCACCACTGAGCTAAATCCCAGGCCCTAAAAATCCTTGTTTTTCAGAAAAATACACTGAAGATTTTAGAGATCAATTAGTACAGTGCCTCAGATGTTTATGGAAATAATCCAAGGAGTGGGGAGTTGGTGACAGGTGGGACAAGATTGGCCATGAATTGATAATTGTTGAAGCCAGGGAGTGGATACATGGAGGGGACTATATACTGTTCTCTCTGTATCTGTTTGAAATGTTCACTTTCATAAAACCTTTTTAAGTGTACTGATAGTCTTGGTGAGATCTTGATTTTTTTAATGAAATAAAATTTGATGCCACTCTGTAGATAAATACAAGATGCAATCAAAAAATACAATGAATATTTAATTTTTAAAAAGAATTTATTAGAGTAAAAGACACATTTCTATTAATCTCCCTCAAAATGCTCTCCCTTACTGTGAACACATTTATCCCTTATCTTCCACTGTCTGAACCAGTTCTAGAAGTCCTCATTCCTGAGTGTCTTTAGTTGCACTGTTGTGGCTGTCTTGATGTCCTGAATTGATTCAAAACATTAATCTCACATGGTCCCTTTAACTTTGGGAAAGAGCCAGAAGTCACATGGTGCAAGATCTAGTGAATAAGATGAATGAGGACCCAATGTCATGTTTTGGGGAGCCTGCTTTTCCATTGGATGGCACTAGGGAGTAGCATTCTCCATGTTTTTAATCATGTCTTGTAAGACATTCACAAAAGAAGACTTCTAGAAATGCTTTAGAAAGTGACAAGAACAGTGGAATAAATGTTTTCAAAGTGAGGATAAGTATTTGGGGGAGGGTAATGGCAATGTGTCTTAGTATAATAATTTTTTTTAAATTTAAACATTCACCATATATTTTAATCATACCACATATATCACAGCATTTATGAAGGTGTTTCTTGCCCTAAATTGTAAGTTTAAGTGGTTTATTTTGTCCATGAAAGTAGGTGGTAGATTTAATTTTTACTTTTGTTCTTTGTCATTCTTGTTTTTTCCATTTAGCAAAAGAATGTATTCAGAAAAGTCTTCTGCTACTAAAATTTTTGCCCATGGGCAAAAGTTCAAAAGAACACTGTGACAAGTTGGTGACTGCCAATGAAACTGATCATCTCCAGCCACTTGACAGACACCAGAGGACAAGCTCTGTGATGGCAGAGCATTTCCAAGCCTCAGTGTCCCCCACTGAAGCATCACCCTCGACTGTGGGAGACAGGAGTCCTGGCTTGGACATCCACCCAAAGCTGCCACCCAGCAGTGGCCCACCTGCTGCAGAAGTGTCCACAGCTGAAGAGCCCTTGTCACCATCCACACCCACCCGGCGGCCTCCCTTCACCCGTGGGCGACTCCGGCTGCTGTCCTTTAGATCCATGGAGGAGGCCAGGCCAGCGCCCACGGTAAAAGAGAAATACCCTGTCCTGAAGGATGTCATGGACTTCATTAAAGACCAGTCACTCTCGCACGAGAGGTGAGCCAGTCATTACCTTCCCAGCACTTTCTTGCTTCAAGCCTTAGGTACCCAATCTAGTCAAAGGCTTGAAGTTTATGTTTAAAATGAACAAATGATATTTACAAGTAAATGAGATCAAAACTTGTTTTAGCATATCCAAGATAAAAATTTGGTGATTTTTTTTTTCCTTTAACAAAGTATTTTTCACTTAAAATTTGTATATTATATGGTATATAAAATATATCTCAGGGCCAGGGATTTAGATCAGTGGTTCTGCCACCTGCCTCGCAAGTACAAGGTCCCAAGTTTGATCCCCAGTACCAAAAATTATATATATATCAGTAATGTATTGTTAGGATTTTTTTTTTCAAATTAAGCATTTCTTTTCGTAGCTCCCACTTAAAAATTTGTTTTATCCCTGGGAGAAATTTAGGCTGTCATATTTCTGACAAAATTATTTGTCCATGGGCTTACATCTTTGGAAATACAGTGTGTTTTAAGTTAGTGAGGAATTTTCTATCCTAAGAATGAAAGCTTTGTCTCTATGGGGACGTATTTAATATTTTAAAATGAGTTGTTAGTGTACTTCTGTACAGTTGGTGTGCACTGATTTTAATGCTGCCAGGTAATGGCTGAAGAAAGCAAATGGGTATTGATATTCTTCCTGTGTGATATTTCTAATACTTCACCACAGTATTTCCTTTCCATTCATATGGCTTCAGAACTTTTTGGGAGGGGATGTTTTCCTTTTGCCCCAGCTCAGGATTTCCTCAGGGATTCCTGACTTGAGTTCTGTCTCCAGTGTTGTGAAGGTTCTTTCCTTGAGGAAAACCCAAGCACAGAGCATCCTGGAAGTCCTGAGGATAATCCAGTATTGTACAGAATCCCTTGGACAGCCTCACTGCTTCCATCCACCTTATATACTTTTCCTGTTGGAACTCCTCGCCTGCCAGAAAGATTTCACCAAGTAAGTACAAATGATAAGTCTGCAAGGAATGTAAGTAGAGGTCATGTTAAAGCAATCCTAGTTGTCTTCTCCAATTAGTAACTCCATGAATTCATTCTCTCATCCCAAGGAAAAATGGGTTATGTCCTTTTATTAAGTGGCAGAAACATATTTATTCCTCTTGATGACTTTATCATCTTATTTTACCACATAGTGAAAATTGTATTCCTCCTGTACCCATACTATCATTTGGCTTCTGGAAGCTGTGGGCTAAATGTAATGCTCATTTACAATAATGACTTTAGTCTAAGTACCTCTCAGAATAGTTCTAACTTTCACTCAACAAAAATGTTTTGAATATCTTCTCTGCTCGGAGCTATTCTAAGTGTTACTTGTACAGAAGTGAACAAGGCAGACAAGGTCCTTGCTCTAATGGAGCTTGTTTTCTATTGAAAAACAAGAAAGAGCATTATTTATTTTAAAATAAATGAAAAAATATCAGCGATGTTCATACATGGCAATTTAATAGAGAGTGATATAGTTTAGGTGGTCTGAGAAAGCATGCTGAGGAGATGACGTGTAAGCCAAGAAATGATTGACCAGCTGAGATCAGGGAGATGAACATTAAAGGCAGAAGGAACAGTGCAAAAGTTCTGGAGTGAAGCATTAGTCCAAGGAACAGAAAGAAAGAAAACCAGCATGGCAGAGTGAGAATGGAAAATTGAATGAGAGCTGTCAGAAAGGTAGAACCCTTATTACTGCAGCATGTTTGGATTTTATGGGAAACCACTGGGTATTTGGAATCCCAGAAGGACCACACTTTGATTTATGTTCATTAAAGATGCCTGTGGATACCATGGGGAAAAGGGTGGAAGTAAGAAAAGCAGTTAGGGGACTATTGCAGTGGTCCAGGCAAGAGGAGGTGATGGTTTTAGAGTAGGGAGTAGTACTGGAGGTGGAGAGATAAGGATGACATTCAGGACATACTTTGGAGGTAGAATTGTCAGGACTTACTAATAGGCAAAGAGCATGAATGAAAAACACAAATCATGGGAAAAGAAACTCCTGTGATTTGGAGCAGCTGGATAGATGATGATGCATTTTACTGAGGGAAGAAATATGGAAGAAACAGACTGGGGGAAAATAATGTTTTGGACATATTGTTTGAACTGCTTCTTTGACACCCAAGTAACAATATCAAGAAGACACAGTCTAAAAAGACCCAGAAAAAAATCAGGACTGCATATAATTAGGTTATCATCAGCATGTAAATAGTTTAGCCATGAGACTGGGTGAAACCTACAGAGTGCAGAGATAGACAAGACGGGGCTCAGGGTGGCCTTTTGGGGCACCCATTTAACAGTCAAACAGAAAGAAGAGTCTGAGAAGGCCACCATGAAGGAGTAGCCTTTGAGGTAGATTGAAAGGGTGGGCATAGTGGTGTCAAAGAAGCCAAGAGTGTGTCTTCAGTGACAAGGGTGGTCAATTGTGTTAAATGCTGATGTGAAAGTTTGAGTGAGATTAAAAACACACTGGATTTGGCATCAATATTGCCGGAGCTGTGGGGCTAAAAGCCCAGTTGAAGTGAAGTGAAAGAGTATGTGGCTGATAAAATTTACAAAGACATTTAATTCAAGGAATTTAGCCTTTAAGGGGAGTAGAGAAATGGGGCAGTAAGTGAAAGGGAATGTGGAACAACTGAGGAGTTTTTTAATATTGTTTTTTCACAGTGCTGGGGATTGAATCCCAGGCCTTGCTCATCCTGAGCACATACTGTACCATGAGCTACACTCCCAGTCTTGCAACTGAGAGTTTTTATGCGGTATTAGAATACTTGTGAATCCTGGTGGAAATGAGTCAGTAATGAGATCAAGCTGGATGCAGGAGGAGAGGGGACAGTTTGCAGTAGCAGCTGTATAAGCACAGAGGTTGGCCTTTGATAGAATCAGGAGTACAGTGCAGATTCAGGTTGGTTGCTACCTTGAGTGGTACAAAGATGAGGGAATTCCTGTGTTATCATTTCTGTTTTTTAAAATAAAATGTGAAGATAGTCATCAATGAAAAATGAAGGCTGGGCAGGAAGTAATGGTCATTTAGGGAGAAGCAGAAAGTTTAAGATAGTGATAAAAGGTGATCCTGACAATTTGGAGTACTTGTTTGAGAATTATCATTGTGAATTTAAAGTGACACTAGTCGGCTTGGTTTTGTGACGTTTCCTCCAGCTAGACTTTCAGCTGGTTTGATATAGGTGTAAGATTTTTTCAGGCAAGATTTCTGTAGGCAGAAGGAGGCCAAGGAGATGGTGTGTGCTAAGATGTGAGTGTGGGTGATTGACCATGTAATCCAAGCTGAGAAAGGAGCAGAGAAAAAGCACTGTGGGAGTAGTAGATGGTGAACATGAGGTGGCCAAATGGCTGGCGCCCAGTGGGATTGAAGAAGAGGCTGTATGGGAGCCCACAGTAGGAGAGCAGGAGGAGAGGGCAGAGGAGACTGCTCAGAAGTCAGCCATTACTTGATGGCCAGGAAAGGGTCACCAAACTGGGGTGGCTAAGGGGAAAGAGAAGAGCCCTGGTGGAGAAGGTGGCAGAAAACTGAGAGGAGAAGGACTGGAGACATCACCCCTATGGATATTGAAGTCACCAAGGTGACAGGGATCAAGGTAGAGCTCAATACTAAAGCCATCAGTGAGGGGCCAGAAGAGAAGGCACGATTGGGTGCAGAGCACTAAATGAGGTGATGTGAAAAATACTTAACACAGTATCTGGCAGTAAGGTAGGGTAGGGCTGGTTTTTATATAATTAAAGATGAATAGTTGTTATCTCCATATCTCTGTTAGGCAACTCTCTTGAGCCAGTCAACTGGCCTCACTTGCTGTCTTGTCCATTACTTTCTGTAGTTATTATACTTAGGGTTTTTGTTGTTGTTTTATTTTGTATTTGTTTTTGTAATGCTGGGGATTGAACTCAGGGCCTTCATGCTAAGCTACATCCCCAGCTGATTTTATTTTTTATTTTGAGATAGCGTCTCACTGAGTTGCTGTTGCTCAGATTGGGCTTGAACTTCGCAGTCCTCCTGCCTCAGCTTCCCAGAGTCCTGTACTTCTTTGTACCCAAGTTTGGTGCCACTTTCTCTGGTTTGCTGCTTCTTAGCTATTTCATGTAAGGAACAGGAGTATTAAGTAAAAGATACCCTGGTATTTAAATTAGTGATTTCTTCTGTTTCTAGTTACTTTGGACACTTGGAAGGCTGTGGTGCTGATCTACACAAAGAAATTCGAGACACTTACTACCAGCTTGTTCTGTTTTTGGTCAGAGCAGTTAAAGGATTTAATAGCATAAATGACAGGTATTGGATAACTTTTTTGTTTCTAGAGGAAAAAAAATTGGTTTTTTTCTGATTATAAAAGAAATACTTGTTCATTATTGAAAATATGAAGCACAAAGGATAAAATAAAATTAACCTCTAATTTTATCATCTAGAGCTAAACACTCGTGTTAATTTATTACTGTAGATTTCTTTTCAATCTGATGTGTACATGGGGGTGGGTTTTGGTTTATCTAAAAATTTATAATCTATTATTTTTAGTTTCTGATTTTATATGTGTAGGTTTAAAACACAAATACAAAAGTGTTTCTCTTTAGTAAGTAGTTTAAGACCTAAACTAAAATGACTCTTCTGTAAATATAAATTGTATAACTTTGGCTAATTTGGGCCTAATCTTGCTATTTATTGGGAAGTGACTTTCACTGTTCAGCTTTTACTGTAAAATGCCTCTTGTAGTCCTGGCAGTATGGAGGTCTTCCTTTGCACCTTTCCAAGTTCTTTTGCTTAAGCTTTGAAAGCTGTCTGTATGGAATGTGAGAACTTACCCTTTCTCGTTATGCACAAGCCAGGCTGCTGACTTATACTGCCCTTTGTCTCTGTTGATAATGGCAACTTTTGATAACTTTTGCCTCTGTGGCCTCTTTAGGTCTCTTCTGCCTGCCTTATCCTGTGTTCAGACAGCCCTGCTCCATCTTTTGGATATGGGCTGGGAACCTGGCGATCTTGCCTTCTTTGTTGATATTCAGTTACCAGATCTTCTCATGAAAATGTCACAAGAAAATATAAGTGTCCATGACAGCATGATAAGGTAAGAGCATAATCCTGCACCCTGCCATTCCTAGAGTAGATGATGAAATGTAGGGATCATAGCATGGAGGTTAAGGGTATGGGGTCTGGAGCTAAATCAGAGCCCATGTGATACATCCTGGCTTTGCCGCATTCTAGCTGAATGACCATGGGCAAGTTATTGACTACTCTGCGCCTTAGTTTTTCATCTGTAGAGCTAAGATAGTAATGGTAGTGTTATCTTAGGCTTCTGAAGAATGCATGCATTATACAATATTTCTGAATATTTAGAGCAATGTCTGGCACTGGCACATAATGGTGCTAGGTAAATCAGCGGCAGTGGGGTTGTGATCTTGGAAGTGAGGATCCTCTGCATTTTGGGAAACTCTAATATAGCTTGTTGAGATGAGAGAATCCTTTTCCATATTTTTTGTTACAACTGTGTTATGTTAGCCACTATAATCTCCAACACATTATAAGAATTTATGTTATAAGAAAAAATAGTATGCAGAGGGTTTGTTTTGTTTTTTCTTGCAGTACTGGAGATTGAACCCAGAGACTACTGAGCTATATCCCCAGCCCTTTTTTAAATTATGTATTTTGAGATAGGATCTTGCTAAGTGACCAGTTTGGCTTTAAACTTGCAATCCTGTCTGCCTCCTGAGAATCTCGGACTACAGGCATGCACTACCATACCTGGCTCATTTCATTTTTTACCAACATCTCTCCAGCCTGTTCAGTCTACTGACATTAGGCACTTGTGTGTATAGAAAGAAAGAATGGAAAAAGAAAATCAGGCATTAAGAGGAGAGAGGAGGAAATAAACGAATGAGACAACAAGGACCACTTTCACTTTCAGAAGAAATGCCATGGGAAAGGGAGGGGGATAGAACTAAAGCCATCTCCTTGTTTGACTTCACCCTTGCCCTGTTGTCAGATGGTACTAATGGCAGAGAGAAGAGATATAACACAGTGGGTATCAGCTTGCTGGTTCTTCAGCTGTCAGTCTCAGTCCTGGGGGCAGGACACACCCTTCCTATAATCCCTCATAGCAGTGGCCCAAACCTAATTAAGAGTAGACCTAAAATTATTTTATTGGCATGCATGAAGGTGTATTTGTTCATAGGTAAACATTTTCCACTTGCTATCAAACAAATCTTTTTGTATTAAAATTCTTGTTGCTGAAACAAACTGTACCCTGAAATTTTGGAAATGTATAACTTTGCATCCAAAGGAACCAATGAGATTGTGTACCTGAAATCCTTTATTTGAAATGAAGAAACAGAACCAGAACTAAATATAGTCATTCCTCATTTCTCAGTATCCTTGGGAGATTGGTTCTAGGACTTCTCACAAATATCAAAATCTGTAGATGCTTAAGTTCCTTATATATTTTATATATATTTTATATAATCACTTCTAAATTGCTTATAATATTTGATGCAATATAAATGCTGTGTAAATAGTTGTTACACTGTATTGTTTAGGAAATAATGACAAAAAATCAGCTTTTAAAAATTTTTTTTTAAGGTTGGTTGAATCCAAGGATGCAAAGCTATAGATGTGGAACCCACAGATACAGAGGGCTAACATAAATGTCTTACAGCAGCTAGTGGTAGAGCTGGAGTCACAGATTCTATGACTCCCTTTTCATGCTGAGTCTAGTAGGATGTTCTAGGCATGTCCACATTGATTTTTTTTTTTAGTCACTGTATTTGGCCCAGTGCTTACCATATGATAGGTTCATTTTACTTAATGTGGTCTGTTCTAGAAAGGCTTTTCTTTTTTTATTGGCATATATCTATCTGTAAAATACCTGATAAATCCTGGGGCTTTGAAAAACAGTTGATCTTTTCCCTTTGGAAGTTTTACAGTGCCCAATCTATTAGACCCATGGGCACAGGGTCTGCTACCTAGCACTTCCCTTGGTCCTCAGGAGAGGCATGCTTCTCTCTCTTTGTCTACTTTCAGCCAGTGGAGTGAAGAAGATGAACTCGCTGATGCCAAGCAGAATTCAGAATGGATGGATGAGTGTCAGGATGGCATGTTTGAGGCCTGGTGTGAAAAAATAGCCCAGGAGGATCCAGAGAAGCAGAGGAAAGTAAGACGTCTCCACTAGAGTAATCTGAAGTAACCTGATAGGAGATTGGAGAGGAAGGTATCTGGAGTGTGCCAGCAGGCCATCTCCCAGAGGGCTCCCAGGGCCTTCAGAACCTTTGTTTCTGGGATGGTCCTGAGGGATTCTGCATCCTGATGGATCTCTCAAGAGAGCGGCTCCCCTCATAGAACTACACTCAAAGAAGAGTGGCTCATGAGGTTGATGTACATTAGGTGCCAGTTTATTTACTGTGAGAGAATTGCTGAAGGGTTTGGACTCTCATACCCTTGGGGCAGCACATTCCCATCATGTAGGTGAGTACCAGGTTAGGCACATTCCAGTCAAAAGGTTGCATAGTAAGCATGGAAGAAGCCATCTATACACTGAATCAGTTATGCGATTCAGTTGAGGGAAGGCATCAGGCTCAGGTGGCCAGCCCACTGCCTATCCCTCACCACAGTGGGCGCATGTCTGTCACTACCACATGTGCCAGGCATCTGCTGCCTTGGAGCCGTCCACTCTGCATATTGAGTGCCTGCTCTGTGCCGCCCACTTTGCTCATGTAATACCTCTGTGGTGCTTGCATGGAACACATCAGCTGGGTTTAGTGGCTTTTTTCTCATGTTTTTAGTATGTGATTGGGAGCCATACTATAGCTTTCGAGTGATTGGGCATATTTGCTTCACTGCTACATATTGTTTAGTGACTTAATTTAGTTCCCTCATTTCCAGGCCCTAAATATAAACTGTACTATAGTGCCAAGTATTTTTCAGTAAAATAATTCGCTTGTTCATGAAGCAGTTCCCTGTCATCTCCCCAGAATGTCTTTTTTTTCTTTTTGATACTGGGGATCGAACTCAGGATCTTGTGCTTGCAAGGCAGGTGCAGTGCCACTGAGCTAAATCCCCAGCCCAAATGTTTTTCTTTTTAAGTGTCAGGAAACAATGCTTGTTTTGTTTTGTTTTGGTGCCAGGGATCGAACTCAGGACCTTGTGCTTGCAAGGTAGGCGGCAGCACCACTGAGCAAAATCCCCACCCCTAACAGTGCTCCTTTTGTAGTGTTTCCTCTATCTGTGAACCAGTATACTATTACTATCCATTCAAGTACTCAAGTCAAAAATTTGGATGCTGTTCATGACTGCTCCCTTTTACTGGTCCATGTATCAAGTCAATCATCTGGCATCCTCACTACTGCCACCTAAATACTTCCCAAGGGTGCCCACCTTTCCCCATCCCTCTTACTGCTCAGTCTCAGTCTGATTACCTGTCCTGGGGTTACTTAACCTGCTTCTCTCCCTAACTGTCGTCTTGCCCCTTCAATCCATTTTTCTCAGTAGCCAAAGAAACTCTCAGAATGCTCAACTCTAATTCCATTACTCTTCTGTTCATAAATATTTGATACTCCTTAGACTAGCATTTGAGATCTTTTGTGGTTTAACTTTCTAGCTTCATCTAGTTATGTCTTCTCTGTGCTATATTTTACATACTGAATTATTGCCAGTTTCCTAAATCCTGCCTTGCCTCCTTTCTGCCTTCTGATGAACCTACCATTCCTTCTATTTGATATGCCTACTACCTTTACTCCTACCCAACTGTAGTACCTGTTTGTCCTCCAGGTCCCCGCTGAGGAAATATCTCCTTTGGAAAACTTTCCCTGACCCTCCTAGTACTCATCGGTAGCCTCCTTCTGTATTCTCTAAGCCTCTTGAGTTTCCCTATCAAAGCATTTACCCCATTGTCTGGTCAGCATCTGTTTGTTGTGAGAATTCCCAGCTAGGTACTTTGCTCATTTATCATCAAATCCTAGGACTTAGTACTGTACCAGGGACATCTTATGTACCTATTGAATAGATAAACTGATTAAGGAATAATGACTGCATTAGAAAGCCTATTGGTTAATTGTGTTTATTTCTCCTTACAGATGCACATGTTTATTTCTCGCTATTGTGACCTGTTAAATGTGGACATCTCTTGTGATGGGTGTGATGAAATTGCCCCCTGGCATCGCTACCGGTGTCTGCAGTGCAGTGACATGGATCTCTGCAAAACTTGCTTCCTAGGTACTTTCATGGACTGAGTATGCCATATCCAAAAATAATAATTATTTCTGTTTTCTGTGATCTTACCATCTTTTAAAACTCTCATTGTACTAAACAGAAATACTGTCCAATGGTATTCTATGACTCATTGGCAGGTATGAGTCTTGTCTCCCTAACTCAACGATAAGGTGTGGACTTATCTGATATCCTTCCTTCTGGTAAGCACTTGATAAACACTCAGGACCAATGAATATACATTCCATTGAGTTTCCAGGAAATAGTTTTACTTCTGAATCATGCCGTATTTACAAATAGCAAAATACACACAAAAAAGCAAACTTCAAAAAGTCTTTAACTGGCTGTGGTGGCTCGTGCCTGCAATCACAGCACTTGGGAGGCTGAGGCATGAGGATCACTGTGAGTTCAAGGCCATAATGAGACCCTGTTATAAAAAAAAAAAAGAAGTACTTATAAAAATTGTTTAATACGGTTGACTTGTAGGTGCTGAGACAAAGCATGTCAACAGAAGTAAACATTGGAATGTTCTTTGTGTGCATGACCCAGCAGCAGTAAAAGATAGTGTCCCTACTCTGGAAACATATATTCTAGTTGGGAGATCAAGCATACCCACAGAAGTCTCCCAGTGCAAGAGTATACATACCAAGTTATATAAATGGTGCAGATTATTTCTGGAACAGTTTTGACATAGCAATAGCATAGCTGCAGAGAAGGCTTGCAGAGGAGCTAGGATGAGAACTGGTCTTTGAAGAAAGTTAGAATTGGGTGGTGGGAATGAAGCACTGGGGACAGCATCACCTTCAAGGGTAGAGTATGCCCAGGGACAGAGGAGTAAGTACCTGTGGTGAGTTAGGTAGACATACTTGAGTGTCTGCCCAGCTAAATGATGGATTAAGACAGTTGAGTCCCAAAATAGTAGGCTGAGGAATTTGAATAGTCTACAGACAGTGGAAGTTTTTCCAATAGTACATTAACATGGTGAGAGCTACATAGAAGAAGTTGGCTCTGTCTCTATAAAAGAGTTTCCTTTAGGAAGTCAGTTACAATAGTCATGAAGGCTTTAGAGCTTGGACTGTGAGGGACTTGGCCAAGGAGTAAATGGTTAAACTTTGGGGCAAAAGCACACAGGCTCTGTGAGAAGTGAATGGTTAAACAACAAGTTTAGGTTAATGAGGGATGTTGTGTCTGGCCACTGTCCTCTTTTCCCCAAGGAAAGTGCTTAGCCTTGAGACAGCTCCTTGCCTAAATGCTTTTGTTCTCTTTCTCTCTCTTATACTGATATTCTAAATAAAAGCCTGAGAGTTCTCGGCTTTGGTGCTACTCCTGGGAGTTTCCCTAACTCTCTTGGTTCAGTAGCCCCTCTGGGCCTCTCTGTGATTGAACTAAGTCTTATTTCTGAGTAATCATTAATTCTCTATGCCACCATGGTCGCACACTGCGACACTGGACCAGGATTATGGCAGTGAGAACAGAATTGTTCAGACATGAGGAGTATCAAGCAGGATCCATGTCAGGGCTTAGAAACCCACTGGGCTTAGAGTAAGAAGGAGACCAGAGCAGCCTGTCTCTTTCATGTCTGTCATTCTCACTCACTGGCCCTGAAGTTATTATTAAGTCTGTTCATCAGTGGTTCTGGAATGAAAAAGTAAAAGCAGAAGCTCAATTCTCCTCAGTGCTTGTTAACAGGAACATACCAATAGATTCTTCATATTTGTCAGAGGAGGAGTTTTGGGAAACAGTGTACATACTAGCATATGACTTGTTTCTGCCAAACAGCATCATGATGGGGATTGGTAATTTATTTGGTTAGACTGTGGCAAGAATATGGGGGAGATCAATCTACTGTACCATCACTGAGGAATGCTGTGCTGAGAATGTCATTCATTTGTTCAGGGCTACCAGGGCAGAACACCATGGTCTCCAGAGGATGCCTGTGGACCCTGCTTTCCTAACCAGTAAACTGGGAATAGCTCTGGTACTGGGATTTATTTATTTATCCTTTCTTAGGAGCCTTTTGCCTCATGCAACTCATGCTGTTTTTTCTCCAGGTGGAGTAAAGCCTGAGGGCCATGGAGATGACCATGAAATGGTCAACATGGAGTTTACCTGTGACCACTGCCAGGGTTTGATCATAGGCCGGAGAATGAATTGCAATGTGTGTGATGACTTTGACCTTTGCTATGGATGCTATGCAACCAAGAAATATTCCTATGGGTATGTCTCAGGGGAAAAGCCACATAGCCTTTTCTTTTTATATTTCTTTTTTTGGTACCAGGGATCAACTCAGGTCCTTGCGCTTGCGCTTGCGCTTGCACAGCAGGCGGCAAAACCACTGAGCTAAATCCCCGGCCCTTCTTTTTGTATTTCTTTACTTAAGTAAGGGGGCTTATTATTTTTTTTTTTTCTGCAGTGCTGAGAATTGAACCCAGAGCCTCACCCATTTTAAACAAACACTCTACTACTGAACTATATACCTCTAGCCTTATTTAATTTTTTAAAAGTTTTATATTATAAAAAAATTTAAACATACCCAAAAGTAGAATAGTATAGTGAACCCCCATATATCCATTAACCAGATTCTGCAATTAGGAATATTTTGTTATATATGCTGAGTTTATTCCTTTCTTTTATCTTTCTTAAAGTATTTTAAAGTAAATTTCAGGCCTTAAATTATTTCTTTCCTACATACTTAATATCCATTTGTAAAAATTTACTCACATTACCAAAACAGTATTGCCACACCTTGCAAATTTCATGAAAAGAGTTTGTATTTAGCCTGGTTTCCATAGGTGGTCTTCTAGGAGTTGTGAAATCCTGCAGTGGTATGTCCAGTGTTTTCATTTATTCATTTTTCTGGGGAGAAGACCCCTGCCTCCCTTTAAAATTTCAATAACCTCAGCCTAAAGATGACTAATGCCCATAGCAGCCTAGCTCCCATCAGGCCTTGAACTCCTGTTAGATCCTCACCAATGCTATAGGCATTAAAAATGTCTTACCTTTGCAGCCATTTGCCTACCCACAGCATCACAGCCCATCCAATGGTGACCATTCGGATCAGCGACCGGCAGAGGCTCATCCAACCCTACATCCACAACTACTCCTGGCTGCTGTTTGCTGCCCTGGCTCTCTATAGCGCCCACCTGGCCAGCACAGAGGACATGGATGGGGAGAAGCTGGATCCCCAGGCCCACAGCCATGCCACCACCCTGCGGAGCCAGTGTATGCAGCTTGTGGGGGACTGCCTGATGAAGGCTCACCAGGGAAAAGGTGACTGTTCTCATGCACAGGAGCCAGACGGTCCCTCAGGTGCTGGTGAAGGCAAAGCCCAGGCAGAAGTGAAAGATGGTGCTTGGTGTAGAGGCAGGAGAGACCAGTGGTCCACAATAGGGGCTCACACTGGCATGTCAGTTAAGTTCCCAGAGTCACTTGAGAGTAGTTTTAGCATTAAGGTGGGATTTAGTTTGTCTAAAATGTTTACATGAAGATGTAAAAAAAAAAATTACTAAAACTATTGAAGTCTGTGGATGGAGCATTTAGTATTTGAATCTACCTAACTTTTGGCAAGAGAATCCAGACTTGGCAGTGTCTGGAATGTAAATCTAATTCTACACAGCTGTATTATAGATGAGTACTATTTTTTTTTTTTGGTACCGGGGATCGAACTCAGGTCCTTGTGCTTGCGAGGCAGGCGGTGGAACTACTGAGCTAAATCCCCGGCCCGATGAGTACTATTTATAAGTAAAATAATTTTAATAAAGTAGCTAGATGATTCTGACTTCACTGAGAGGCACAAGGAAGAAAATAACTTGAATATTTTCTAAGACATTTGAATTTCTCTCAGATAGTGAACTCCCCATTCCAGTTAACTTAGGGAATCAAACCTGTATTGGGTAATGAGGAGGTGATACTAGTGCATCAGAGTGACTCCTGTCTGTCTACCAGTAGGAACTTAGAAATCTAGCTGTGTTGCCACTGTAAAAGTATAATACTTACAGTTTTCTAAACATATATTTCTGCTGACTTTTGTGTTTTGTTAATAAACACCCTTTACTGTCCAGACTTCACCATCTGAGATTGGGAGCTGGAGAGGGTTGTTTCTGTTGGGTGGTCTTGGGTTTGGTTTGTGTGGACCTCGGTCATCTGTTTCTATACAGGGGCAAAGGATTTGTGGCATTCGCTGGAAATAATCTTCATTTTAAACTTTTAACAGTTCTCTTATTTTCTTTTTCTTTCTTTTTTGTTTTTTTTTTTCTTTTCTTTTGGTAGCGGGGATTGAACTCGGGTCCTTGTGCTTGCGTAGCAGGCGGCGAAACCACTGAGCTAAATCCCCGGCCCTAGTTCTCTTATTTTCTTCCCTTGTAGGTCTTAAAGCTCTGGCTCTTCTTGGTGTATTGCCAGATGGTGATACCACTCCAGAAATGCAGGCCTTGCCAATCACAGTGTCCACCTGCACGTCAGAGGAACTGCTCGAGAAGAAAGTGGTCCAGCCTGCTGTGGAGCCAGCAGAGCCAGGTCCTTTTGTGTACTGCAATGTAAGTTTCTCTTCTATGCTCCACGGAGTTGCAGGTTGAGCTCTGAGAGCCATTCAGATGAGGATCTCAACAGAGAGGTCAAGCACACAGACCCTCTGCCAGGCTGCTGGCCCTGTCAGACTTTGGACGAGTTCCTGCTGTTTCTTTGCCTCCATTTTCCCATGGTGATGGTACACTGGTGATGATAAAAGCAATACCTATAAATAGAGGTGTTGTGAGGAGTTCCATCCTTTACACTTTGAGGTCCTGTGTGTAAAGTGCTTAGAGTATGTAAATAGTAAGTTCCACATCAATGTTAACTACCTGCCTGTTGGTGGCTCTTATAAACATTAAACAAGATTATACAACTAAAGAATTTAATAACTAGCCCTTGATGAACATTGTATATATCCATACACATAAGAGCACAAAGTGCACCCATGTGTGTGCACTCACACCTGTGTGTAGCTATTTTCATATTCAGTAAAAAAATAGGTGATGACAAAAGTTTATTGTTCAGGGCTCGGGATTTAGCTCAGTGGTTCCATCGCCTGCCTTGCAAGCACAAGGTCCTGAGTTCAATCCCCGTAACCCCCTCTCCAAAAAAAATTTTATTGTTCAGCAAGTAGACGCCATAATTTACATGCACTTATGTAAACAAAAAAGCCTTTCTGGTTTCATACTCTCATGGTGACACAAGATTGTTTTTGTTTTGTTTTTTGTAGAAGAGCACAGGATTGCTCCCATGATGATGGCTGCAGAGTTAGTTGATGCAGTAAATGTCTGCACTTTTTCGCCAGGAGCCACTGACGTTTTTTATTTTCTGCCTCATCAGGGTTCTAGTTCAAGTATTTTCCCCATGTGGTGGTTATAGCTCACCAGGATCCCATTATAATGTGGAGGGGACAAGCAAAGATGGCTGGAAGAACTGTGAAAATTTGTATTATCTTCCTTCTGCCACAGAGCCAGAAGCCAGGCCACATAATCTTCAAACCTGTCTCAGAGCTGTCTGCACTGTGGACCACAAAACTCTGCTCCTGTGAGCTCTCAGCATCTTTAACATGTCATCTGTAGGCATTCTGCTTTGCTATCTATCAGTCCATTCACTTATTTATATCAGGATGGACCAACACGTGGATTTTTTTTTTTATTCAGTGGATTAAAATCTATTGTATTATTTGATGCCCAAATTTCCAGGTGTTTGGCCAGTGGCAGCTCCTTTTAGTCAGCTTTTTCACCTCTTTGATATGACACAATTATTCTTTGAACAGCAGTTTCTGATACACCAAAATGTTTCAAGGTTTTTTTGAGGTTTTCCCTGCTTGGGGACTGAATGAAACTTTTTTTTTTCCCTTAAATTCCTTTATTGGTACATTTTAGGTATACAGTACATTTACATTTATCACTGGGTACTTGAACTTGTACATGATGTATCTTGGTTCTTATTTTTTCCCTGTTCCCTGTCCTCCCTTCACTCCCTCTACCCTTCCCTGTTAACAAAGATTTTGTTTCCATTTTTTCCTTTTCTCATAATTTTTCCTTTCCCTTCTTTCCTTTCTCCTTCCCCTCAGACTTCCCCTGCCCCTTTAGATCTTTTCTTCCTATTTCACATTATCAATTATTCATTTTAATCATTTTAATCCTTACCTACACTTTCAGTTTCTCACACCAGAGAAACTATT